GTTAATGCCGTTACTTCAGATGGCCATTTTTGTGCACATAAAATCAGATAACTTAAGTTGACCTGACAGTGTGCTTGCACGTAAAACTTAGTACTGTCTTCTGTATGTGGTTACAGCTAGTGACAGCTCTTGAGCATGGTGGCACCGAATGAATATTTTTCTTCAGAAAGTGACATTGCTTTAAATTAAAATGAACAACATCATTTCATATAACAAACGCTCTCCTCTTTCTGCAAGGCTGAAAGTTGAGTTTGCTGTGGTGTTTCACCTCAGTCAGCAGTGCTGTCATCATTGCTTTTGTTATTTGGGTCTGGTTATAGGGTTGAGCAACCAGAGCCCCAATTAGAGAGGTTCCCACCAAGCTTGATTAATTATAGCAGTGTAATCCACCAAAATGTAGAGGGGGAAAGGGCTTCTTCCAAGCACTCCCTTGTTTCCGATGAATGTTGTACCACTGTGATAGAATTAAGGCACTGTCAAATTCATATAGTGATGAAGGGTCATGTAAGACCTTGACCTTAAGTTCAAGGCATAGAAAAATACTGTTGTATTGTCTGTCCCTCACACTGTTCTAACATCTAATGATTTTGTGGAATTTGAGTGATGGATATGCTTTTAGTATATGCTGCTTTTTTCTGGCATTTGAAACAAATAATAATTGAAAAAATCTGGTGTTCAACCCCACTGAGGGTCAAAAATCACTTTCAGGTTAGGAATTTTATGTTAAGGTTCCAGTATATCAGGTTAAGAACTAGTACAAATGTTGTCCGAAATACTCTCGTTTTAAAATGTGGCTGATTTGGTTACAAATAACAGTTCTTAGTCTGTATGTGTATTTCTGTCCTGTTGAGTGTTAAGATAGATGTTCAGTTACTGTCTGAAATTGTAAAGCAAACATAACTGATTTGTCTGAATTGTCGTCAGAATGTCTTTTTTCAGATACCATATCTTGAAATGTTCCTAAATATTACTATTTATACTTAAAGTTCTCAAAAATCAAACACATTTTAAAGCTTAACTCCTTAGGATTTTAAATCTGCCCTTGTTAATGTTGTTCCTCTGTGATTCCGTTCTTTATAAGCAACCCTTGAGTAATTTTATTTACAACCTTTACCACTTCACTGCATGTATATACTGTTGGTTAAGGTGCTTTTCTTCTCAGTAGTTGTACAGTTACATGCTGGTGGATATCTTTTTTTTTTTTTTTTTAATTTAATTACTATAAAGTAATTTTAAGGTCAGGACTGTATCCACAGAGTCCAATAAAAAAAAAAAAAAAAAAAAAAAGACAAAAAATCACCAACCAGAGAAACAAAAAATTGACATCGTTTCAGTACTTCACAGTCCAGAGACCGTGAAGACAGAAACCTCTTTAAATGGTGATGAGTCATAGGGCCTGCTCCATTTCCAAAAGAATTCTTTTGTACTTCTGCCACAGGACAAGATAAACTAGGTTATGTTATAGTGACCATTAAAATAATTTGACTTGTGTTCTTTAAAAGAACAGAAGAAAAACTTGCAGCTTTTCCTTATAGATACATTTGTGTATTCTTTCAGTAAGTCACTGCTAAATTAGTAAAGAATTTGCTTAGAATAATGCTGTAAACCACTATGAATATATTTACTGAAAGTTGCATAACTAAACAGAATATTAATTTACCTTTAGTAAAATTGATTCAGGTTTGTTTGTGGAGGCTGTTATACTCTTTAGCAGAAATTATATCAAATATAATACAGAATCGTTGTGGGAAAGTACTATTTCAAAGAACTGTATGCATGTAAACAGTGTTAGTGCTGAATCCTGCATTATAAGTAGGAATAAATAAACATTTTCATTAGCACAGTAATAGATAACTTGCCAGGTAGGTTATTGCAGAAAACTTCTCCGTTCTTTATTCAAGTGAAAATGTGAATTCTCCAGCATGTCATTTTAGCTCACAGCCTCATTTTTCACCAGTACTTGGCCCAGGGGCTGCCACTCTCTCTCTAACCTTTGTCTGCTTTATTTAACTGCCTATTTATTTAATTGTCAGCTTAGATTTTAAAGTGTGCCATGACGGAGTTTGAAGGTGGTGTCATAGCCTCATAATGGCACTGTAGCAGAGAAATGTAGAAAAATACAGGAAAGAGCACTTTGTCTACTAACTTGAAAAAAATGCATGTTCTGTTTGGACCAAAAAAAAAAAAAAAAAAGATAATTTAAAAAAAATGCTAATATTGAACTGTTGTCAATATTTAGAGAGAGCAGTCCCTTGCTGCTTCGACAACTCAGTCATGTAATTTGGTAGTGCAGGAAAAGCTGATGGTAATTTTGCTTAGCTTTTCATATTGGCTTTTAAAGCAGGAAGACTCCTCATGTAGGAGAGTGTCCTGAACATACTGAAATAGCAGATGTGCCACACAAAGGGGTGAGAAAGAGGCTTCTAAGAAAGGAACGGAAGGAGAGTTGAGATGTTTGGGCTGGGTTTTTACTCTGTACAAACGTGTTGTTTTCAGAGAAGAATGATTCATTAGTTATTTATAAATTTATCTGAGGTGATAGATCTTTCACAAGGCTGCAAAACTCTGAAGACCTACTCCATGTATCCACATTGCCCTTTGAGACTTTTAAGCTAAGACTGTTGGCTGCAGATTTCATCTGCCCTTATGTCACATAATGTAGTAGTCCTTCGAAAAACACCGCATTAGTTGTTTGTCTGACTTTGCTGACAAGGCAGATGTTATGTATAGAGATGGCTGGGCCGTATAGCTAATGAGGATGCCCTTGAGCACAAGCACAGGGAAGATGTCTTTCCAAGAGCAGAGATTTTATCACCCCAGGCTTGATCTTAAAGGCAAAGCTGGCATTAACAGGTAGTGCAGTAAGAGCAGATCTGTAGGTAATTGTATTAAGGACCCAGCATGCATACTGTGTGTATTCTAGGGGATTCTGCTTTTGGACTGTCTTCATCCTGGTCCCATGGAGTGAGTGCCCTTTTGCATTCTTGAGTGGAACTCTGCTTTAGTTTGATCTGAAAGAAATTCGGTTCATACTCAGAGATAGCCTGGAGTGTGAACCAAAGTACAGCTGGTGGGGCAGATGAGAGTCTGGGGACACACTGATCCAAACTAAAACATGAATGTGGACACACACTTTGCCTTCATTAGTCGGCAACATGTAAATTGGGAAATTTGACCTCAATTCCACCTGCAGGATTCTTTCCACAAAACAGTGTAAACATAATTTATGTATCTGTACTCCAGAATTCTTCATGAAATTCCAGCATCTAATTCCGTGGTGGGGGCAGCAGTGACTGAGCTGCTGCCATTTTCTCTTAGTCTAGTGCTTGGAGATTGTTTCCCCAGAACCTTGTACAGTTCTATACTCAAAATTCTTCTAGGTTTTTTTTTCTAATTTATTTTATTTACTTTTCTTGTTAAAAGGAACAACACTTTGAATGTAGAGAAGCTCAATCCTGTGCTGTTTAAAGAATATCCTGACTTTTCGTAAATGTCATGTTGTTTCCCTTGAAAAGAGCTAAATGTATTTAAAAGGTACTTCCTGTGTAAGTTGCAAGAACCAGTAATATGAGCAGTATGGTGTGCTTAAAAGAGCAAAATAGTGATGTGGGCATCTTTTTAAATTGTCTAGAATTCATTGTAATGGTTTTCAGAAGTGAAATACTGTGTGCAGAGTCTATGTATGAAAACTACACAGTACCTTTCATTACCCAGAATTGTTTTCATCTCCTGACTATTGCTGCTTGTGGAGATATTTTCTGTGTCACAGTAGAAGAAATGATACTTTAAATTACAATAAGGGCTGTTTGCCTTGTAGCCAGTGTTTTTAATTTGTTTTTTGTTATTAATGCATCTGCCATTATGATATCGAAAAGGCTTTCACTAACTTGCATTTAATTGTCTACCTGAATTTAGGCCACTGAGCATTGGGTACCTGCGGGTTACAGGCCCCTCTTAGTGTAGTAGCTGTTGTTTACTATGAATCTTTTTGTGCACTAGGACTATGTTTCTTTGGCTGTATAATTCTATCATACATAGTTTCAATAGCACGGGGTGGTATTCTTGGGTTTGAGGCTTCAGTTGCGTGCAGGAGTCTTAAATGTCTTCCTTGTAGGCTCGGTGGTGGTGGTAATAGTAGTAATAATGGCCAGTCTTCGCGAGCGAAGATCCGGGGAAGGTCTTTCCACCTTCCAGCCTGCGCATTGGATTTTTTAGGTGAGACACAGTGTGCGCGGAACTGAGCCCACCCTTTAATCCTAAGGTTCATCTGCCGGGGCCAAGCGAGCTTGGACGGTGGCAGCGAGGTCCTTAGGACGTAGGTGGGTTGCCTTTAAGGGCTAACGAGCCCCACCTGCCCGGGAGTGGCCCTGACCGGGAATCGAACCCGGGTCTCGGCGGTGATAGCGCGGCGCCCTTACCACTAGACCACCAGGGGCTCCTAATAGTAGTAGTAACAATAGAAATAATAGCCACCATGAAGGAAACCTAAATCTTTTGCTCACAGGCATGGTAGTGGTAGCATTTGTAACAAGAACATGACTCTTTTTGTTGGCTTACAGTGGTGCTAAGGCCTCAAGGAAAGGCCTTAGCCTGGGGATTACTTCTGTTCATGATACTTTTCTGCTAGTTACACAGCCAAACTTTATATTTACAGGACCAACTAATTTCTCTGGGCTTAACATTTCTCCATCCATAAATTTGAGATAACTGGTATTCACTTTGAGGGGAACATGTTTTAAAGTAAGCCGGTGGCTTGAACTACCAAATAGGCTGAGTCATGCAGGATATAGTTTACGTTTTGACAGTGTTTGGGGAAATTCTGTAGAATATATTTGATGACACTGAAAGTTGTAACACTTAATCACTGCTCACACAAAATATAGTTTACATCAGTGTCTCAGAAGCTGTTACATGAATGTGCACTTGAGAGCAGGATAAGATGTAGTTATCTTGTGGTTTATTATTTGCGGGTTTTCTTAATCAAGCTTAATTTCTTACAGGAGGTACTGAAACAGCTACAAGGAAGTATTGAAGATGAGACAATGGCATCTTCTGGACAAATAGACTTACTGGAACGACTTAAAGGTAGATCCAGAATTATGTTTTAACTACGTTCATTTGTTTCTCCATTGTTTTTTCTTTGCGATAAAATTTTCTAACTGAGCTGCGTCTTCTTCCTGGTGCTGGTTTTGATGGTTAGGCATAGTCTCAGTGTCTGCTATTTTTGCTAATCATTTTCAGACACATTCTCAAAAAAAAATAGGTATTCTTATGCTGCTTTTATGCTTTTGCTACTTATGAATTACTTTTGATAAAACTTGCATTTCATTCAGTTCTTCAGAAAAAATATGTCTAAGATGGAGCAATTCCACCAATTTTCTAAACGTGTTTGCATGTCCTGCCCTCTCCATGTCATGTTACTGGAATTGTTCCTGTCATGCTACAAATTGATACCCCCTTCCATATAGCATGTGCTGGAATGTGCGTCATTCCATTGTATGGGATGTGGAAAACAAGCCCAGACCACTATCTCCCAGTATACATCCATTATCCCTGCCACTGACCCAGAAATTCTGTAGGGGATGTCTACATTTAAGAGCCCTGTGATGAACAGAGTAACCATCTGTTACATGGCCGAAGCATCTGCAGGATCTCTTGAGAAAGAAATTGTTAGGAAGATAATTCACATGATGTATATGCAAAACACTCCCCATTTCTGAAGTACTCTGGGAAAGAGGCAGGCAGGCTTGTGTGGGGTTACTGTTGTGATTGCTAGGATTGCAGTTTTGCTGTCTGTTCAGATTACTGTTCACTAAGTCTAACATTAACATCGAGTTTGTTCACAATATCATCTTCCGTGGATTTCCACGGAATTCCATTTTAATGTTTTCATTAAAAAAACCCCACGGATTTATTCAGAAAGTAAGAAATTTAAGATAGAAATGATCTTTCAAATTTGTGCTGCTGAACTTCTGCTCTGGAAATGTTTGCTCTTTATTATCCAGAACTGAACTTGGAAGGTACCAACTTCCCTGGAGTCAAGTTAAGGCCAAAGGTGTCTGTGCGTTCCTATGGGAGCCGGGAAGGGTCTGTATCGAGCCGTTCAGGAGAGTGCAGTCCAGTTCCCATGGGGTCGTTTCCAAGAAGAGGCTTTATGAATGGAAGCAGAGAAAGCACTGGTTATTTAGAAGAGCTAGAAAAAGAGAGGTAAATTTATTTGCTTATTCATCCAATATGGATTGACTTCTCATTTTAACATGACAGTTTACTGTCACAGCTGGTATTTAATTGTCATGAATGTGGTTTTGGTCACTGATGTATTTACCTTGATAGGTGGGAAACTGGGAATCTACATTATATTTAGATGCACACGCACAAAAATATTTTTAAAAGTCTGGGAACATTGTTCAGTTTCTACTGTTTCTTCATATATGCATTTCATTGTTACTCTTTGTTGGCTGAAGGTTACTTTATTTTGATGATCAGGTTGTCAGTATCTGAAATATTTTTAGGTAGAGAGGGTGGAGCATCCCAAATGCTTCCATATCTCCTCACCACTGTTGATAAATGCCAAAACTATAACAATGTGATGTTGTGGTCTCTTTCTCTCTTGTGCAAGTGGTTATTAAGTACCAAAACTGGTTTGTCAGTTATTTACTGTTAGCAGACATTTACCTAGTGATTCTGCTCTCCCAGCAAATGTGTCAGCTAAACAAAGAACTTACTCTTATCTTCAAGATGTTGTTCCCATCAGATATTGTGCATTGACAAAATTGGAGTATTCCTTTTCTTGGAAAGAAGTTGTATCCATTTGAGATCATAATACAGAATTGTAGCACTTTATCAGTCACAAAGGAAATGCAAGGTAAGAAATATACAGCAGTTTCCACTGAAGTCATCTTTATATCATAAAATGAACCTGACTCAAATACCACGTGTTTTCAGAAGCCCATCTGCAAGACAGGATTTCCTAAAAGTTTGGTCATTGGCATCTTCTTAATGGATGTGGTATCAAGTTAAGGGGGCTGCAAAACCAAATAAACTGTGTCGCAGTATGTTTTCGTCTGGTAGTTGTTAACAAGCAAAAAAATCCACTTTGGAGTCACAATAGAAACGTTTTGTGGTTAATGAGTAGTTTGTGGACAGCTCTCTAGAAACTTCTCCTCTTAACGGCATTTCCTGGTGTTCAGCATAATTTTTTCAACCAAACCTGAAAGGAGTATGTTTTCCTTCCAAGATACTATATCCTGGTCCCTTTCTTTTGGTCCTGTCAGTAGAATGAAACTTAACTTCCATGGGTTTGTACTGAACCTGTTATGGCAGCCACTCTATTTTTTCCCTTCTCCTAGCCAGGATCACTAATGATACTTGTTCCATTGCATAAAACCTAGATTCCTTGGGAATTTGGAAATTTTCCCACTTGCTCATCCCAGTCTTCAAGAATCTAATGTGTCTGTCATCTTGCATCTTTACAAACTGTGCCTTTGGTTGTATTTTTCCAGTGCTGTTTTTTTTACTGCATGTGATACTAAAATCTTTAAATATAACTGGGACTTTAAGTTATGGTTCAAGTGAACTCTTGGTCACTTGGCACAAGGAGTATTTTTAGCAGCTGGAGTTCTTTAAGGTGGTTAGCGCATCTGATTAATGATCTATCATCCTTTCCCACTCTGGGGATTCTGAGGTGATACTTCTTTGGACATGTTTCTTGACAAAGACAGCTTAGGCATTGAATGGGTCTCTGTTCCAAATAACACTGGCAAAAGGGATAAGGATATTTTAATTTCAGAGTAGCTTAGGCACTGTTACTGTCACAGCTGATGGGGTAAGTATTTGGGCTGTGGAGTTCTGTAGAGGCGTGGCCAGATCACACCTGGCTTCGTTATCAGTGAAATGGTGGATAATCCAAACTGCTATAGTCTTTATGCTGTTCCAAGGGACAGGTAGGAGTCTGTAGGGCATTGATGAGAACCCTAGGTAGCCAGATGAATCAGAACATGGGGTGGAGGCCATAGGATTCTGCATCTGAAATCACTACAGTTTCTGAAGGAAAATGAACCACTTATTTTCCTGTGCCTTGTGTCTAAATTTGTTTGGCATACCTACTGAATTTCTGTGTTTCTAAACATACATATAAATATATGTTATTCGCTAATACAGTTTTTTTCTGGCAGTTAAACAGACTTTCAAGGAACTTGCGGAACTTGACAAACCTAAAATAATTTAGAATAAAGTAACACTTCCTGGAAAATGCAGCAGAGGAATAATTCCACTCAGTATCTTAACACACTGGCACAATATGTGCTGCTAATGGGCAACAGTGTTTGTGTGAGGACTAAATGACGTATTTAATTATTTAGAGTGGCTTGGTGGGCACCTGGTGGCCAGTCAGGGTCAACCCACCACAGACAGCTAAAACAGAACTGCTGAAAGGAAGAAAATTTGTCAATGGATTCACTTACCAGAATAAAGATGAAATTATTGGCCCTTTTCTCATCTGCTTAGCTCTTCTCTAATTTCACAGTAAAAAGAAAGAATAAAAGAGAAAAAAACCCTCCTGATTTATGACATTCCTTTTTTATTTCTTTAATGTTCATTTTGAGTGTTTTCTATCTCATGACTTCTTTCTTCCCTAATTCTTATCTCCCTTTAACTGACCGTACAGCTTACCTAAGTCTTTAGAGCATCAACACTCATTTTCAAGATTGTATTTTATCTCCTACGAGTTGAAGTGAAAATATTAATTATAGCTGCAATTTACATAATGAAAATAGAGTAGCATATAGTTTGTTTCCCTTCTCCCTTTTAACTGGGAATAATATTGACATAATTATGCAAAAAAGATTTCCAGAAGAAGTTTTCTTCATTCACTCAGCTTCATCTATTGTTGGGAGCTTCAAAAATGCCACATTAGAGAAGTCTTTCAAAATACCCACCCTTCTGAAAAACAGTTCAAATTGAAAGCTTTTGTTAACTAAGAAAAATAATGTAAAGTTGCAAAAGTTTCTCTGATTGCTTTGCTGCACCCTCACTGAACTTGACAGTGTATGACAGAGAACAGAATTTTCTCTTTATACTGTGAAAGCCCTAATGTAAACAATTTTGGAGTATAAAACGATGGAATAACTGCATGTGGTTTTTCCATCGTTTTATTTTCTTGATCAGCAGCAGCCTTTCCACTTTAAATCCTCTCCTAACCACCAGAAATTCCAAGAGGCTGAGAAGGAGCTATGCTTCTGGTTAGTATAGTATCTGATAGTAATGTTAAATGTGGGGAACAGCTTATCAGACACATCTGCGCAGACTTGCTGCTTATTTTCAAGGAAACTAACGTACAGCCTGCTGTGGTTGTAGCAACCCTTCAGGTTTGTGCTGAGAGAATTCAGACATTGTTAAAATGTGAATTCTCGTGGAGCAGTGATACCAAACGAGTAATCCCAAATAAAGCATTACTTCAGAGGAAAAAATGACAATATTGAATTAAACAAGTCACCCTCAGGTCATGCATTATGTTGTTTATGGAACACTGATGGTTCTTAAGTTATTTTCTTGCTTCAGGCATCCATTGTGCATGTCAAAACAGATTGAATGACACAGTGTCTCACAAACTGAGTAGTCTACATTTCACAGGAGGAATTTAATCACATGTTTACTTAGCTGAAAGTAATCCCTCCAGCTTCTGCTACTGGTTCTTTGACATCCAGAGGCAGAATTAGTCTGTCGTTTCACATTTGCAAATCCTTCTATGGTAAAAATAGGTTTTAAAAGGATTGCATTGATTATGCTTTTGCAAATTTTATTTCACAAACTGGACACAGCTGCTGCATGGGCAACCAAGATGGTAAAAAGGGAAGCCATGGAGAATGCCTGTGTGTGCAGTGATGAGGCACCCAGGGTATAGGGTAAGAGAATGGGCAGATGGGAGATAAAAAAATTACTTTCTCAATAGGCTTTCCCCAAGGACCATCTATTAGTTTTCTCTTCAGTCTGTCTGAGGGTCTTAAGGAATTTCTGGAAGCCCCATCCTTGTGGCTGAAGAGTTACTGGTGTCTTATAATAGTGCTGCAGTTGCTTGCCATGGTATAGGAATTGTTGTTTGCTGCCTCTTTTCACTCATTTTGACTGTAAACCTGCCTGGTGTTAAAGCTGCACAGTAAATGACTTAATGCATAGTCCTGACATTCTTAAAACAGTTCTGTTTCAACAGAGCTGTTGAATCAAATCTGGAAATCTATGTCATTCTGTTTATCTTTACAGGCATTTACCACTCTCAGATGTGTGTAGCTTTTCAGTCTCTCACTGTTGAAGGGAGGGATCCTCTTTGTTTCAATTTTCCATTTAAACACTGACTAGGTCATTTACATTGGATATGAAATATAAATGTTAAATCGTCAAAATTAGCTTAATATATTTTTAAAGCAGGAACTAAGTCAAACACATTGTTTAAAATACATGCTTTAAAATTCTTCCTTCTGTGTTTTGTATGGAAGTTTGATTATTTTCTCAAATTATGACTGGGATGTATTACCAAAGGAGTAAGGGGAAATCTGAATTTTTGTTGTATGCTGTGTTTCTGTTCCTTAATTACATACAGTAATTATCCATAATGTATTTGTGTGCTTTATAAAAGTCCATATGCTCTTGTTCAGAAAGTCCACAACCTGAGAGGAAAGCAGAAGTTAAGGGATGGGAAATAATACTGGGCAAACTTGTATGCAGCTTTCTGTCTTCTGGCCAAGTGTTGATTTTATTGTTAATGAGCAATATTAAAATGTCAGAAGGAAGAAAAATGTTCACAGAAAGTAACAGAAAGAAACTAATACATTTGTATTTTTTAAAAAAGAGTGGCTTTTCTGTATACTCCTGCTAGCCAGATTTCGCTGGAAAATTTTAATACATATTTTGAGAAGTGTTGTGACACTGTCGTGACACTGTTTCACTGTGTTGATAAAATTTAGCATTGTGTAAAATTTAGTTCATGAAGGATTGATAAAATAGTATGTAAAATTTCTAGTAGATTTTTTTTCTTGGTAGTCTATGTATTAATCTTCTTGTCTTTCTCATATATTGAGAAAGGTATGCAGCATGCTTATGATAAGCGTTTAAAATCTATTAAAGAGCTGCAAATGTGTCTTGTCCATAACCCTTGATGGAAAATATTATTTTAAGTATTTTAAACACTCTCTATAGAAATAGCGAGGTTTTGTGTTCTTTACCCATAGTTTTGCTGTGGGTGACAAAATTAGTAAGAGGATGCTGCAAAGGTGAGTAAGGTACTTCAGTTAGTGAGGTGACTGAGGGTTGTACACGCTTCTGTAACATCCAGAGTTAAACGTAGTTTGCACTGTACAAAGCAAGGGTACAAGTTAGCACACGACTAGTAGCTGGTTTTGATTTCACAAAAGATCTCTTAGCTTTGGATTTCAGAGCTGTTTTTAAGAGAAATATAGATATTTTTCTCTGTTATGGATGTGGATCTGATATGCTCAGCACAGAGGAGTGGACATACTGTTTAGCTGGGGCTGGGGAACTGCACTCACCTTCTCCAATGTCTTCTTTGTGCCCTCTTCAAACCTGCTTTCTCATCTAACCTTGTTTTTGGGTATCTGTGCCCATTTCTATACCTACATATGGAAATTAGGTGTAAATAGTGAGACAGTTCCTGCTTCTGTTTTTCATAGATCTCTTTTGCTTGCGGAGCTTGAGAAGGAAGAGAAAGAAAAGGACTGGTATTATGCCCAGCTTCAGAACTTGACTAAAAGGATTGATAGTCTTCCCCTTACTGAAAATGTAAGTATCTTCAGACTGCTTGGTGTCCTGTATTTGGTGCTACAATCTCTGTTTAGATGGTGTGTATTTTATTAATTTGGTGATGTTCTCTATACTATAATTTTAATTTAAAATGTTTTTTCATTCACTATGTAAATCTGACTTAGCCTAAATAATGCATTTTTGTGTAGATTTTTTACACATCCAAAGTTCATACCTGTCCCAGGTTGGACTTGGCTCCCAGCCAAGTGCCCGGACGTCAGGGACAAAGCCTTCTCCCTCCCTCTCACTCTCGTGCAATTGATTGAAAAGATCACGAAAAAGAAAATCAAGAGAACCCAAACCGAACTGAATTTTAAGTGGAAGATTTATATATATATATATATATATATATATATAAAGAAAATTATATACAGGGAACCCCCCAAAGGGGAAAAGGGAAGGGAAAGGGAAAAGGAAAAAGGAATAAAAAGGAATATAACGCAAATACTTCCCTCCAGAGATAGCGAGCCACACCACACAACCGCCGGCGCTCTCTGCCTCTCAAGGCCAACCAAATGCACCAGGCCTCTCTCCCCGCCCGGGCAGAGCGACAGCAAAGCTACCTTCGCCTTCGGTCCACCGGAAGAAAGAGAGCGAGAGTTTCCTCTCTCTTCTTATTTATACTCTTGCTTACGTAAAAATCGTATGGAATACTGGGAACATGGCCTTGGTTCCTTGGTTACAACCTGGTCACCAAGGAAGGCCTACTCTTAAAACTACTACAATACCTTTTAGTATAAATGTCAGTGGTAACAGAGGAACATTGAGAAGTTATGACAAATGAATTACATGTCAGTACACTTCTTCTTCAACGCTGTCCCCCAGAGGTCTTTTCTCTATCTGTTTTGTTGTTTAGTGGATTTTTCTATTTTTGAGAGCCATATTAGCCTAAGAGACAGTGTACACAAGAGCTCTTATTTCATACCAATCAGTAAAGTGATACCTGTAGCCTATGCAGGTATTATTGCTTGAAGTTTTTAACTTGGCATCTCCAAACTAATATAAGTCAAGTCACCATTATCTTGGATAATGAAGATGTCTGATCTCCCAAATAATACAGGTTTTCCTGTTAGATTGCAGCAACTTGGATATGTTTGCAATGAGTTTCTTCACATATACAGTGTTTGGAAAACCTGGTTGCCCATCTTTAGAGAGTCATACTTGATGAATAAACAGGCTCCTGGAAATGCAAACAGAGAATGGAAACACTTCTGTCAGTGGGCAAAAGTAGCACTGAGTCATGGCTGAGCTCAGCAGAGCACCAGAAACAAGGGAGAAGGTCTGAAAAGGATTTTGAAGAAATGCAACCCATTCCCAAAGACACTGTCAGCAGTATCTGTGTCACTCTGTTGTAGGTTTTAAGGTTGCCTCCCTGGTTTCATAGGTAATTAATTCGCTTAGCTGCTCCTGTGATTACAATGTCTTACTTAACGTCTACACTAAACACCTTTTGTGCTAATTTGTATCCATTACTACTTAGCCCAGCCACAACGGAATGACAGTATTTGCATATGATTGTCTTGTTTTGACTCTCTGAACTGATCTTGGTGAAGTCTTCTGGGAGGGCTCTTCTGGGAAGGCTCTTAAGGGACTCATGTACTTACAGTCTGAGTAATTGTCCAAAACCCGTGAAGTGCTTTGCTCCTGTCTTGAAAAGTCTATCAGCTGGAAGGTCTTCCCTTAAGCTGTGTGGTTACTCCCCGGTATAACACTTGTGCTTTTTCACAGGATAGTTAAAAATAGAGTAGAAGGCAGTAGTTTGATACCTCTGAATATTTTTGAAAATACCCATTCAGCTGGCACATATAGTAACTTCATTGGTAATAGCCTGGTGTTCTTGATTTGTAATTAAGAGTACTTTCTCTGTTTACCTGTTGTATTTAGTAATATGACAAAACCCACAGGTGGTCTGCTGATGGAGCAATGTTATGTGTTCTTGTTTTTCATAATGCAGTCACGTTTTAAGAATCTGTTACTATGTTTTGTTTGTTTATGAAGTTTGTTGTGGAAAAGTAATCGGTCTGCTTTTGTTCTGAGAAATACATTGTTTACATAAGTGTTACTGACTAAAATGCCTTCTCTGTACATTGGTTTCAGTTCTCCTTGCAAACAGATATGACTAGAAGGCAGTTGGAGTATGAGGCAAGACAAATTAGAGCTGCAATGGAAGAACAGTTGGGTACCTGTCAGGACATGGAGAAGCGAGCACAGGTATAATTTGTTTTTCACTATTAAAAGGAAGAGAAAACATTTTCCTGCATTTTTATTGTATTATTGGTAGCTGTATCTTTAAATTGTGTGTAAACACAGTGATACCTTAGGGCATTTAGTTAGCCATTCAAATAAAAAAGAGGAATCAGAACGTGGGAAATAACTGTTCAGAAAGAAGTACCCTCATTACCTTGTTTTGAAGAAGCCTTTTGATTCAGACAGTTTCTTCAAAAGAAAATATTTTTAATGATTATCTGCTTATTATTTACTACAATTTTAGCTTCATAAAAGTCCATGTGTTTGCAACTGCTCATTTTGCATCTGTTATTCTGGGTTTTTTTCATACTTTTAAGTTCAGAATAAAATTGAGCTACTGTTCTTAAGTTTCCTTAACCACAAACCTCATATCAGGGCATAATCTTTGAAAACAAGGTATTAAGTAAAATGTAATCCACATACATATCTGGAAGTTGTTTTGACCAAGAGTTGTTTTGCATTCATGATGAGGAATGTCTTAAACATGTGACACACCCATCTGGAAGCATAAATCAGAATGTAATTGTGTGCAACCCATAAATTAAATAATCAGTTGCTTGCTGGTTGTAAAAACTATTCCCCCACAGTAGCAGAGCAACAATAAGTATTTTCAATAAAAATAGTCTCTTTAGGCTCTATATTTTGCACAAGGTTTACTCAACACAAAATTTTGCTAAATGAGAAAAATTTCTATTTTATTTTCACATTTAGTTTTGTTGGTCTCAGAACAGCTGCTTTAAATTTAAAAGTGAGTCATCTAGTAAAACTTTTAGAAAATCCATTTAGTTATAAATACTTAGCAGAGCAGATACCCTGCAGTTGTCAGTTGTGTATGCAAAGGCTGTGCAGGGATTTGTCTGTATAGGTGTGCTCAGACAGACCTAAATTTCATCTGCCTGTGTGGTAGCTGACCCTGATCTGGGAGCTGCAAGGCTGTGTTATCCAGGCTTGTCAGCAGTGGTCATGCCCTGCATGAGTTCAGCTATGTCAACCTGTCTTGAGTGAAGGTCCTGCAGAAGAAGGTGTTATGGCATTCACAGTAGAACTTCCAGGAAAGTTCTCCAGCTGCCAACAATCTTAAGCCAGAGAAAGGTGAGTTAAGCTAAATAGGTAGGCTAGGCTGCTGGAAAAATTCGAGATGCACTCGGGCAGATGTTAAAAGAAATTATGCAGTCACAACATGACTGTAGTTATATCACTCTGAAAGTAACTAAGCTGTCCCTAAATTTATTTCTTCCCTACTTGTTTGGTTTTGGCGGGTTTTTTTAGTTTTGTGGGGGGAAATTGTTGCCAAGATGTTGAAATATTTTATAGGTTTCTGAATTAATCTTTGACACGGTGTTTGTCACAGCTGTTTCACCCTATCTCTCTGTGTTTATATGTGTGAAACTTCCATAGTTAGAGAAATTGCCATACCTACTGTGATTATATAAAGATTATAAAACAGGAAGTAACTGCTTCTCATATACTTCTTGTGAACTATCTGGTGATTCCCCTTCGTTCCATTCTCCCAAGGGCCAGTGCCAAAAATGTGTAGAATCTCATGGGTGTACAAATACATAAAAGCAATTTCTTCATTATTTCATTGTCATGTTTAAATGTGCAAAAATGAAAAAAAATTATTTGGCAAGTATATTCAACTTTCTAGTTTTCCCAGTTCCTTTCTGCTGTGTTCAAATGTTGTAGCCTGTATGCTTAGTAGTAAGTAGTAGCAAACTTAATTTCTGTAAGATGTATTAAAAAAAGACTTCAATTCTAAGACTGAATTCATGTTCAAATAGAATTTATTTTTCCTTCATGCCAGAACAAGAAGGAACTAATTTTTTTTTAGGTTAAGAGTTCCTTAAAATCTTCCCAGAAATGATCTTTCTTTTAAGAATTTATCCCAGGATCCATAAAAGTTTGCTGAAACAGCAGACCACTAAAGATAGGTGAAAGCTTGGATCCTCAAGTCTTGCACAGATGAAAATTCATACAGTGGTCTTGTATGTTAACGTAGGCCAAACCATTAATAATTTTGTCTGTTATTTATCTTTATTTTTGGAAAAAAAATGCAAACAAACAAAAATCCAAACATTTTAAACCAAAATGTTACTACATGTTTTCACTTTCACTCTGTGGGGGAGTTTTATTTCTTTTTGTTAGAAGCCTTAGTGGAGCAGTGAAAGTCAAGTAACTGTAACTTGTTACAGTTATGTTATCAAACAATTTTGTGTTAATAAAGGTTACAAGTAAATATAAAAATGGAAATATTCTGTGAACAAACAGAAATGAAAAGTGATGTTTCTGAAATATGTTATAAAATTTAAAAAATTCCTGGTGCTTGTTCCATTGCGTATCTCAGATTTTTACCTATTTTTCATAAACCTGTACCCCTTTGTGGAAGAAGATGCATTCTTTTTTCTGCTGCTGTGGGAGTAAATATGCTTCTAGATAGTGGAATTCTCCAATTTCCCTGTAATACAAGTAGTGAATTAGCAGAAAGAAGAATGGTTTGATGTTTAAATCTGTGGACTAAAATTGGAAAGAATGGGTTAAATTCCTGTCCCTTTGGTCAACTCAGTCAGCGATACTTGGCAAATTGTGCAATATTTAATTGTTTTCATCTGCACAAAACTTTTCCCTTTGCTTAGGTGTGTATATAAAGATACTCAGATTCTCTTGATGCCCTTTATGGGCTAAATTACTGGTTACACTGAAAGAAACTCAATTTATAGGAAATTTTGAGGAAACGTGTGGCTTCTGAGTATTTAAAGTATATTAAAGTAAGAAACTCTTAGCAGTTGTTACTGGACAAGAGTTAATGGTTGAAATTAGTAGAGGGTAGATTTAGATTAGGTACAAGAAAGAAATATTTTACAGTGAGGGTGGTGAAACACTGGGAGAGGCTGCCAAGAGGTCGTAGGTGCTCCATACCTGAAAACATTCAAGGTCAGACCAGACAGGACTTTCAGAAGCCTTGAAGATGTTCCTGCACTTGGCAGGGAGCTTGGGATAGATGAGCTTCCAGGGTCCTTTCCAATTCAGACTATTCTGTGGTTCAGTAAAGTTGAAATAATTCTTAAGGACAGAGAGACACATTTTCTCAGTCATGCATCATGTCACCAATGCATAGTTACTCCCAAAAAAATGTTTTTATTATCTTTCTAATACTTCAGTGCAAAGGGTGGGATGAATTATCTGTTTGCCTTTATATTGAAGATTCTGTGTTTTCTGATACTTTGCTTTACAAAATCAAATCAAATTTATACCCAAATGTTTATAGCTTTGCATCTCTACTAAATGTTGATGCTTATGATGCTTTTCCTGTAGCTGCTTCTGATGTGTGTTTCAGTAATTTGTTCTATTTTATGGGTATATTTTCTTCTGTACTTCTAACTTTTCCAGATAACATTGTGATTCTATTCCATGTGTATCTTTTGGCCTTAGTTAAAAATTCATCTTGCTTCTAATTTTGGATTATAATGTGTTAAATAAGAGCAGTGATAATGCTGATTCTTGCAGTGTCCGCTAGATTGGTTTTTTAGTGTAGCATTGTAAATGTTAATCAAGTAGAAGAATCAGAATTTTTCTTTCAACTGTGTATCCACTTTATTAATCTGTCCATCACACAAACAAATACTGTTTAATCAGTTTGGTGTTCTGTCCACATTCTAAGCCAAATAATGTCAATAAATTATTAGGTTCATGCAGAGAGATATAACTTTGCACAGTTATTATTTCACAGAATCATAAGGCATCCTGCGCTTCACTCTACAATTGGTGTGGAGTACATGGATCCTGTAACATTTTGGGTTTTTTTAGCATTCCCTTCACTAACCACAGAATGGTTGCAGTGGAACATAAGTCGCAATATGGCTGTAAAAGACTGATTTAGAGATGTCTACAAAATCCCAGATAAACCAAAGAAGCAGTACGTAGGGTTTTTTATACTTAGCCTGTTAAATTCTTCGAGATTTGTAGAAGCAGAAAGTTCCAGAGGCTGAGCATGAGCAAAACTCTGAAATCATTATAGTAGCTGAATATAATAGCAGTCGGTCAGGGTCTCATACTTTCAAGACACTCTGCAAATACAAATCTCTCTCAAATCTTTGTAAGGCAAGTAGAACTCTAATATTTGAGATACAAGTGGAACAGTTTGCTAGAGGTCTGCATAAAACGTCAGTTTCAGAAGCAGGAATATTGTGCAAGTTAATGGGAGCATTTGTTTATACCTGAATGTGTCCTGTGTGACAATCTATTACATCCAGATGAGTATCAGTTGCATTAAAATCCTGACTACTCGCTATGTTTTGAACGCTTGCAATCATGCCTGTCTTCTGTTATGAAGAACACTTGAATTACTGCATGTAGTACCTACTGCATGTAGCAACTGAAGTAGGCTTGTTTTGTAGTCAGCAAAATCAAACATGAAAATCCATTTTTTTCAGGCAAGGGTGGCGAGAATTCAACAAATAGAAAAGGACATTCTTCGCATACGACAGCTCCTGCAGTCACAAACAGCTGATGCAGAGGTTAGTGAGCAATTACTTGCCTTTTTTGGTTGTGGTATGTATCTTTTTCTTTTAAAAATCCAAATTATCTGAATAAAGTAGTAGGCAAGATTATTTCCACCAGCAGTTGATGTCACAATTAATCAAGTAGTCAATATTCTCAAGGTGTAACTTTCTCTCTTTCCAGTGACCTGAGGTTGGAATACTTATATTAGTCTTAAAGCTACTGCGGAACTTTAATCAATAATATATATCAGTTAAAAGTTTAACTTGAAATTTCAGTACAAATGTCAATATGCAATGTATTATAAAGACTGAGTCTTGGTTTTAGCAAATAATTACAGCCATCAGTTGTACCTGTCTTTCTAAATATGAATCTCTGATAAGCATCTTCATAGTGTGCTTGTCTTTTGAAGGAGATAAGTTTTAAAAAAGGGTCGATACAGCTTCTGTCAGACCTCATTATAGAAGCCTGGTATATTTTTAGTGTTTAAGTACTGGGTTATATATTAAGAAATACAGGATGTTTCTTGTAAATCGCAGAGTCCATGTTAGTAATTGCCATTAGGAAAAACTGCTCTCGTAATGGAAGTTCAGTTAGAATGTCAGCTCCATTTGTTGTATTGGTAAATTAAAGTATGTGTTGGACATGAATGTTTTATGATTTGTGTTCACCCAAAATAACTACGGTGAAAACTCAAAGCAGCATTTGGCTTACTAATGGGTATATATTTTTCCATTTTGAAAAATACTGGTTTCATAGTTTCAGTATCTGGAGGGAAAACCTGTTTTTATAGGTGAATCAGGCAGTAGTATGTGAAATTAAAGTTACCTGGTCTTTTGATATATGAGTCAATCCAGGTGTTTATACACCTTGAGATCTCCCTGAGTCTTCTTTTCTCCAGGCTGAACAGTCCCAGTTCTCTCAGTCTGTCTGCATATGAGAGATATTCCAGTCCCTTAAGCTTTTGATTGAAATTAACTGACCCTCCAGTGCGGGTCTGGGGTCCTGATTTTTGCCCTTTCCCCTCCTCTTAGGATCCTGAACTCTTCCATCTCATGGTCCGTGCAGCCAAGGCTGCTTCTAACTTTCACATCCTCAGCAAGTTCTTCCTTTGTTTTTAAGTATCAAAGCCATCAAAGGCCTCTGCTTTTTGACTCTTGGATCACCTGTGTCAGGAAATTTACATCAGAGAAGTCAGGAGATCTCCTGGAATGTTTCATCCTGCTATTATCCCTCCAGCAGACTTGAAGAGGTCCTGTAGGGGCCAGGGCCTCTACACATGAGGCTTCTTCCAGTTTCTTGGGAAAGGTCTCTCTGTTTCTTTCTCCTGATCAGGAGGTCTTCAGTAGATGTCCTCCACAACTCCCATGTTGGTCTGCCTGCTAATGTTCACTCATAAGCTCTTGACTGACTCCTGGCTCATCCCCAGGCAGAACACCATGCACTGTAGCTGCTGCCTTGCAAAAATGAAAACTTCCCTGCCTCACCTAGGACCACAGAGTCACTGAGGTTGGAAAAGACCTTTAAGATCATTGAGTTCAACCATTAACCTGACACTGCCAAGTCCACCACTAAACCATACCCTCAAGTGCTGCATCTACACATCTTTTTAATCTCCAGGGGCAGTCACTCCACCACTTTCTGGAAGTCTCTTCAACCCTTTTGGTGAAGAAATTTTCCCCAGTATGCAGTCTAAACCTGCCCTGGTGCAACTTGAGGCTGTTCCCTCTTGTCCTGTCATTTGTTAGGTGGGAGAAGAGACTGACACCCACCTTGCTCCAGCCTCTTTGAGGTAGAGATTAGTAAAGTCTCCCCTGAGCCTTCCCAGCCTGTCCTTCCTAAAATGTCTGTATTTCTCAGTTGCAGTCTTAGTCATAGCTATTCCACCACATCTCTGTGATCCCAGTGAGGGTACAGCCCCATGACTGCAGTCACTTCACTCCTTCTGTCTGCTCTCTGTGCAGTGTAGGAGTGTGCCAGAGACAGACACCCAGCCTTGCCAGTTCTCCAGCCCAGTTTGAGAGCTTTCCCAAGGCAGTTCTGCTGCACCTTGTTCCTTATGTGTCTATGCTCAAGGACATTGCTCTTATCTCAACTGTGTGTTCCCATCAGCCAGAGCTCTTGCCTTGCCTGCCTTACCCTTCCAACTTGTCAATTGTTTGTTGAGGAATCACTCTGGCCCTTGTCATTTCCAGTGTAAAGCTCTCCCTACCTGGCTGGTCAGCCTCTGAACAGATACTTTTATCCCATGTAGTCCAATAGCTCCTGTCCACAGAGTGGTTTTCTCTTACTGTGATTTAAAAAAACTCAATAATTCTTAGCTTGCTTAAGGTCAGGGGCTCAACCAGCATTGAAATGTGACTACAGAAAAGAAGGTTTTGTCTTAGTTTTTCACTCCTTCACCAAATTATTTGGCTGGCACATACACTGAAGTTCTGATATACTGAAATTTTGTTGTGGTGTGTCTTACCTGTAAAACGTTGGGATGTCTCATTGAATAGTTAGATGTTTTAGGACAGAGTTACCAGGGTGCTGGTGGTACAATAGGCAGTCACTACATGCACACTAGTACTTTATAATGTGTTTTAATAATTTCCAAGTGTTGAGCATCTCCGACAGAAAACAGATTTAATCTGGATCTAATTCTGAAATTTTCTGATGGTGAGGAGGAAGGTAGTAGCACTCAAACTGCAGAGTCTGTGTAACTGAAAAGTGCAAACATGAGACATTTGCTATACTTGTATGCTGTGCCCAGTCCAGTTATACCCAAATTGAGTGTGCTTCTTATGCTTGTAAAGATCTGGTAACAACAATAACAAATATCAAACTTGTCTGCTGATACTGTTTTTGGCCCTGTGGTGATGTCATTCAATGTGGAATCCAGGGGCAATATATCTTGAAGAATTAAGACCAAATACAACACTGCAACATAAAAATAGCTTCTGGAAATCAATTAGCAGAGAAAATTCAGTTACACATTTTAGTGCATTTTTAAGGTTTGGCAAATCGCCGAGTCTTGTGAATGACTCTAGAAAAGATTGAAGTAATGTACATGCAAGTCATGGTACCTTCAAATTTCATGAAACTTCTATTAAGTATTTTGCAAGATTTTCATAATAAGGTTTGAAATCCACTGTAGAGTTAGACCTGTCCAAAGAGAATTTTTGGCTGTTGGGTACAAAATGAAATTATGTAAAAGAAAAAAGTGAATTCTTGGCAAGTGCTCAGTGTGAGGTTTTCACTTCCTTATGGTGGTATACAGGCCTTTTTTTCATAATATCTGTCATTTGAAATATGTGAATTATTTCCCTTGGACAGTGTTGCTGTAGATAAAATGTAAAGACTTTATTTTTTACAAAGATTATGCCTAGCAAGCTTTAAACTGTGATGGACAGGAGTGTTGTCAAGGATTTGACTCACTGACTTTATTTTTTCTTTGACTCAACTGTAGCAAAATATTTCATATGTATGTTTTCTTAATTTTGCTTGTTCCATAGTTTATTTTCTTGCATATGTTACTTAACACGTGTATGTATATGAGTTTAATGTGAAGTAATGGCGAAATAAGAATTTTCTGGTATCTAGAAAATAATAAGGTATCTGTATTTGTCAACACACAGAAAAAGGGTAGTTGAATACTGGGGAAAAAACAGTGGTTTTATGCTTAAAAAGGTCTTCTATCCTAATGAATGGACAAGGGACTGCTTTGGCAACTCATGTTGACAGAATATTAAGTAAAATTATTTATAATTGGGTTTCCTAGCAAAAATAATCAAGGCCTGCTATGCTTGCAAGTGTCATAAATAGCCAGAGTTTATAAATTTTCTGCTAGTAAATATAATAATGGCCAGTCTTCGCGAGCGAAGATCCGGGGAAGGTCTTTCCACCTTCCAGCCTGCGCATTGGATTTTTTAGGTGAGACACAGTGTGCGCGGAACTGAGCCCACCCTTTAATCCTAAGGTTCATCTGCCGGGGCCAAGCGAGCTTGGACGGTGGCAGTGAGGTCCTTAGGACGTAGGTGGGTTGCCTTTTTTTTTTAAGGGCTAACGAGCCCCACCTGCCCGGGAGTGGCCCTGACCGGGAGTCGAACCCGGGTCTCCGCGGTGATAGCGCGGCGCCTTTACCCCCTAGACCACCAGGGGCTCCGCTAGTAAATATATGGAAGTTAATAACTGACAAGTGTTAGTTATTGTTGACTTCAGAAACACTTAGAAAATTGTGCCAAACAAGGCAGAAATATGGAGCAGCTCCATATTCCTGTAGTAGGTAATGTATTCACATGCAGTCTCCCACCATTTTGCTGCAAGAGCAGAGAAGTGTAATCTGTTAAACTGACATTGGTGGTGTGATGCTAGACTTCAGAAATGGCAGGGGTTATAAACCCAGCTTATGCCTTTGCAAAAGTCAAGCTCTGAAACAGGTGATGCTGTTTAACCCAGGGACCCGTGTGCCATTCTCCAGCTGCCGTGCCTCATGTAGAGGTTACAGAGCCTGTTGCTCTGTACATGCTCTGGTTCTTTGCTGGTTGGTACGTTATGTATTTTCATCCACAGATCCTGTGTTCAGTGTTGAAAAGTACTGTGAAAAAAGGGGACGTCTTTGCGGTGGTTATACTGTCTTTCTAACCACTGATTGGCAGTCTGTCAGATGAATATTTATTTACAGCAGTGTACAAAAATCCATTGGAATTATCCATATATGTAGATACATAATGTTTTGATATGTAATAAATATATGCACCTCAACATATATTGATATATCTATAATAAATATCTATAATAAATACTCAGTTTTCAATTAATAGTCTGCTGTCTGCTACCTGTGTTGTTATTAACTCCTTTGAGCCAGTCTGCACAAAGAGAACAGCTCACTTCAAATTACTTCAGTAGCTGAAGTGGTAAGAATTCTTTCACTGTGAACTTGCAGAACTCCTGTTCAAGTGCAGCTGCTAACTCATGTGACCTTACTGTGTGTGCATGTCATGAGCACATACTGCATTTAAAGTTAGAGAAGCCCTGCTAGTAACTGCTAAAGATCGCCTTATAAATTAATTTACATGTTATGTAGACTACTTTTTGTAATGGCATATTTTTGAGAGTACTTGGGGGGAATGGGAAGCCAGCTCATTCATAAATAGCATTTAGTAATCAAAATGTATATGAATAGGAGGAGAAGAACAGAGAGTGTCAAGGAGAGCAGAAACTTTTCTTGTCAGGGAATGAAATACCTGTGTGTCTGTGCTGCAGATGCATCAGAACTATTTAATACATATGCCCTCATCACCACCCAAAAAAATTGCCCCAACCCGAGGGGTGTTCTTGGACAAGTAGTGTTGTCTCTCTTCAGGTGACCCAGTAGGTCAGAGCCTGGCTAATGAACCATTCAGCTTTTTACCTCTAGGCATGTTTAATACTGCTTTTTACATGGAATTGAAGATGTCACCTGATGACTAGAAAGTTCTGTCCTGAGTTATACTGGAGGCTTAGATGTGGTTTTTGTCAAGCTCATAATTACACTTCATTCAAGATTGAAAATGTTGTGAGACAGGGATTCAACCTATATTGTATTGTATTCAGCACACAGTACAGCAAGGCCTGATCTTGGCTGGGCCCCCCCTCTTGTACTGGGAACAAAAAGTTCTGTAGTTACTGTATGAGCTCCAACAGCAGTCCCATTTCATACACAGTGACAGAGATGGTGACCTTTAAAATTACAGATCAGATTTAAAGAATAGTAGCTTATTGAGATTTACTTGTTTTCCATAACTGAACATATGATGTTAAGAAACATTCTACCCCTAATTTTTTCTGATTTTCTCATTACTTCGTGTAATATTATTGCATTCTTTGATCTACCTTATTCCTTGAGTTAAACTGTATAGATTTAATTTTTAAGTTATCACTTCACATGTATTATAGTTAATTACAGGTTTCTGAAGTTCTGTTCAACATTAAATATTTTCTGGGTTCGAGACTCTGTATGAACAAAACAGAATTATTTATGCCCGTGATACTGTATGAATTTGATCACTGGGTAACTAAAGATGTTTCAGTGCATGTACCTTGAAGAGCAGTATGTTTCTGCTAAAAGTCAGAGATAAATACCCTCAAAGCAAGGTAAGGCAGACAGTGCTGTATAGGCTGTTCTGCTCAAGAACATTGCAGAGTCACCAGTTTATTTTGTCTGTTGAGGTAATAGCCTCTTAGTCTATAAAATGAGATTTGGCAACAAGACTAATACTTGAAAAATAATCCTGCTTTCAGTTTCAGACTTCAGTCACTTCCATGGACATTCATGTCTTTCTGAAAATCTGAAATGTTTTAAACACATTAATAGATAATATTGGATACTTCACATACTTTATAAGTGCTCAGTTATTCATAGAATCATAGAACCAACCAGGTTGGAAAAAGACCTCTGAGATCAAGTCCAGCCCTTGATCCAACACTGCCATGGTTACTAGACCATGGCACTAAGTGCCACATTCTGTTTGCTTTATTAAGAAACTGTATTTAAAGGCCTGATTTTCTCTTTGATCTCATGATCCCTGTCAGTAGCAGGGAAACCCAGGTTAATTTTCATGTAGATGTATAAAACTCTGATTTCCTGAAGGAACTGAAACCTGTCTGTACCAGTTTACTACGTCAGTTAAGTTTGTTTTGACAGAATATTAGATGGATCAGTATCAGGCTATATAAATTTTATTTCTGTCTCAGTGGTAATTTCTGCACTATTTGTCCTTGGCATTTAGAAGGATTCTTACAGTACAGATATCCTTCTGTTCAAGCAGAAATTACTGGTCTTTGAATGCGAATTTAATTGAGCTGTCCGTAGTCCCCAGTAAATGCGGAGATCACGTGGCAGAGCAGAGCAGACAGTTGTTTGTTCCAGTTCTGTTACATTTCCGATAGGGATGTGAGCACAGCTGGTGGAAAATGGTGTTTCTGTGTGTCACAGCGAATCCTTTGTCTTGCCGGGCTGTAATCCTCAGAGGACGGGCTCCACTTTCATCTTGCAGCCTTTCAAAGACGCTCCGTCTCGGCTGTTAATTTTTGAGGCTCAGGGTTGTGAAATGGAAAGTGCTTTTGGATGGCTTTGTGAGGGTGCAGGAGAGATGCTTTCACAGCCCAGAAAGCTTTGAATGATAAAGTGCACTTCATTTCAGTATGTAATTTCCTAAACTCTTGTGTCTACAGAGAGCACCTCAAAGCAAGCATGATGCAGGTTCCCATGATACAGAGAGGCAGAATGAAGGTCAAGGAGCAGCAGAAATCAGCGCAGCAGCTAGCAGTACTGGTCAGGTAAATAGAGTGTTTTGTGTGGTTTTAATGTAATTAAATATTTGAGATGTATGTCACTTAATGTGTTGGTATTTACCTTTCTGTGTTTGCATGCCTACTCATTTAAAAAAATACGTATGTTTGCCTTTTTTCCATCTCTGTGTGAGAAATTTCTTGTATTTACTGGAAGGAATTTTTTTAATAGGGACAGGTATAAATATTCAATAATGCAGGGAGTGTTTTTCCTTTGCTTAAATGATTAATGAGCCTAATGCTTTGAAGGAGATAACAAGAATGGCTGCGGAAAATGTATTTTATTGTGTGTGAATTTTAATATTGAAAGTGTGATTTAATTATGGAAAATTGTTCAAATTTTCACTTTAGAAATTACCACTGAAATATTAGTGATTTTTAAAAAAAAGAGGCGAAGCAAATGGCAGGTTTATCATTAATGTTTCTTTAATATTGTTTTATCTAAAGCTTTGAAACCATAGTATCAGTGAAGGTAATCTCCTGGAAATAGGCTGAAGGGTTATTTAAATGCTTCTAAATAATCTTTCATTGCTTTCCTTTTATTAATGAAATACATTAGTGGAATATTTTGAGGTGTACGTTAAATTCTTGTCTTTTAAAACCAATATTCATCAATATTTGGAGCCCCTGGTGGTCCAGTGGTAAAGGCGCCGCGCTATCACCGCGGAGACCCGGGTTCGATTCCCGGTCAGGGCCACTCCCGGGCAGGTGGGGCTCGTTAGCCCTTAAAGGCAACCCACCTACGTCCTAAGGACCTCGCTGCCACCGTCCAAGCTCGCTTGGCCCCGGCAGATGAACCTTAGGATTAAAGGGTGGGCTCAGTTCCGCGCACACTGTGTCTCACCTAAAAAATCCAATGCGCAGGCTGGAAGGTGTAAAGACCTTCCCCGGATCTTCGCTCGCGAAGACTGGCCATTATCATCAATATTTATGACTTCTCTCTTTGGCTAAAAGTACTTTTATTTATTTACCATGGTCATTCTCCTCGTAATTTCCAACTGTAGCTGAGACATGCCCACTAGTAATTTGGGTTCATAAAACTTCACACTACAGATTAGTAGCTGAATTCATATGCAAAATATTTTTGCTACTCCATGGAAGTAGAATTATTTAAATATTTCTGAAAAGTGTCGTGTAAAGAAGATTTACAAGATCTTTTTATCAGAAAGAATTGTGATTTGGCTAGAGTATTTCACTTGATTCAACAGTAAGCACAGCCCATGATTTTGCTTTTGAAATACATTTAATCACCATTTGGAATTAAATTCTATCATCCATATCTGATTGAGCCTCTGACTCTTAATTCTTACGACAGCTTTATTGTTTGGGAAGAAAAAAATTCAGTGCTGTTTTAGGGCTGAAAGCATAATGTATATAAATAATTGATGCATTGTTGCTGTACCATCCACCTTCAGAGGATGAATTAGGAGTATTTCTGCACAATGTATTTTACAGAGAAGGAAGGAAGAGGGGATTGTCATATCTTGGCAGAGTTACCCAAATGGAAGATTCATTCATACTTCACCTGAGGCCTTACATTGAGGATTTGTAAAATTTTGAGTTTTGCCTTATAAAAATACATAAAACATGCATATTCCTTCCTCCTGGAGGTGGATAGAGCCAGGGCACTCTATCTATTTTAAAACAGCCATCTGGGGATTAGTTGCTTTCAGTGCAAGTCCAGACAGAGAAAGACGGTTTAATGAATTGGGTGTAACATTTATTTCTGATAAACCAGCTCACTATACTTTGAACAATCAGTTGTCAATGGAGTGAAAAAAAAAAGTTTCAACCAAATCATTTGATTCTAACTGGCAGTCACTGTTAATTGAAACACTGCCAATTGAATCCAGGATTTTTCAGAATTCGGGTATGTCCTTTCCTGCACCATCTTTCACCTGTCTTCTCTTTCCCATTACAGTCATTACCCTCCTGCCTAAGTAAAATTATTTTCAAACGTTTGTTTTGCAAGATTCATAAAGGAATTGGTTCAGATTGTTCATCTTGTAAAGAAAATATGTCACAAACCAGGGAAAATTGCAAATTGACAGGGTAGATAGCAAGCCTGGTAAAACAATGAGTTAAAGACAGAAAAGTATAAGAGGAGAAAACAAGATGAAGTAGAGAAGAGAAGATTTTGAAAGAGAAGGTTCTACACAGGAAAGGTCCACACAGCATTTCCTTGTCATTTCCCATTTTCTTACACGAATGGCCACACCTTCCGTTAGTTCTTTCACGTTAGTTTTTAGGAGCCAGTAAGAAATGCAGTTACACTTCATTGGGCATCCTGGCATCCTCCAAGTAGCAAGGCTGCGTGATGGCTCTGAAAGAAATAGTTATCTGAGTTTGGGGGAAATGATAGAATAATTAGGCTATTTCTGTCTACACCGTGATACATTTTAGTAGGTAGTGCTCCAAACCTATGTCATTTTTATGTTCTTGGATCATGCTGAGCTTAATAATGGAGAATTCTGGCATGTACATTATGTTGAACCTGTAATCCTCTGAATGTAGTTGGAGGTCAAGGTGATACAAAGGGATTACTCTGTGCAAAAATCTGTGAATTCGTTCCTGTATTCTTAGCACTGCACATTATTTAAGTGAATAATTGAGAAAATCCAATTTGATTTTCATTCTGAGCTTTCAGATTTTGATTTTTTCCTGTAGTCAACAGAGAAAATAAGGGCTTGTTTACATATGAAATGTATATTGGAATAAATTGTGTGAATTTAAATCATTCCAGTTATACTCATGTAGCATAATACTTCCGGAACCTGCATCAAATCTTCTGGATTCAAATGGGAGAGTGAAATGAATATAATAATGTGTGTTTCCATATTCCAATATAACTAGATTATTTTCTGTCTATACAAACACTGCATTAAGTTATTCCCCCATTTTATTTATAGTCTCTTTTCAACTTCACATTTAAGATGTTGAACGGTATGAATAACAAGTACTCAGAAGGGAATATTCTTCTTTATGGTGCACACAGAAAACACAGAAATTATTTCAAAATGTTTTCATGGGTTTTTCTTCTGTGTTTTGTTTGTTTGTTTAAAGTTATATTGTAGATCCATATAGTTTGAAAACATTGTTTTGCAAATAAGGGCAATAGTTTCATGAACAGATCTTAGCTTTTTAGAGGATCAAAGAAAGACTGGTGACTACCTGAGTAAAACACTGTTCTGATACTAAATACTAAAAGTGTTCTCTAAACAAATAAATTTTTGAATTCTCCAAAGCGAATGGGAAGGGAGTGACATAATAAGCAGAACTTCAGAGACAGGAAGTAGAGAAAAAGAAAGAAAGAAACAACAGCAAATAAAAGAAAAGAGAAATAGTGGGAAAAGATGGTGAAAAAAGGAAAAACGTAAATACACAAAACATACTAAAAGAGGACAAAGATGCTGATATATGAGTCTTGCTAGTACAGGTAGAAGCATACTGTTTACAGTAATTTCTAGGAAAATGGAATCAAGTAGTGTCAGCATTATTTTATAGTTTTTCATTAAAAAATTGCTCAACCACTCACAATTTGCTTTTGATATTAGCAATTCAAACAGGGCCACTCCTTGTCTGGATGATTCTCTTGGTACTAGGCAGTTCTTGAATACCTAGCTTTGTTCTGAAGAAGTACAGACCTATTCCACTACATAATCAGACATAAAAATTGAGGCTGGTTTTTTTTCACTCTGTAAAAATTATTATTCAGGTTACAAAGTTCACTCTTCATTCTTGGTGAAAATAGTAATTAATCAGTTCCATTGAAAGTACAGTTCTATTGAGACTAAGTCTCGGGAAAAGTGGTTAATAAAACTAGGTTCAACAGTGACTTCGTAAGTTACGTTGGGACAGAGAGGACCCAGCTCAACAGAAGGTGACATTTCATTACTATCAGTACAATTAATTCAGTGCTGAAACTGAATTAGGCAGTTGTTGCTTTCACTCAGACTTTGTTTTATACTGACTTGTTGTTTGAATTTGTAGGGTTCTGCTGCTCGAATGGACCACGAAACAGCCAGTGTTATGAGCTCTAGTAGTAACTATTCTGTTCCTCGCAGACTGACAAGTCATCTGGGTACCAAGGTAACCGAAGATTACAAACCACAGGTCGCTAATGCTACATTTTTACTAATACAATAACCTCATTGTTTCTGCTAGTAGTACTAATATTAGCTGAATGATCTATCCATACATAGTAATTTTATGAAGTTAAAATTTTAGGATACTTTTCAACATTAAAATATATGCACAGAAGTTCCTTTTTTTTTTTTTAACTTGATGATGATCACTTAAGAGTTGTTACAGTAAGGAAAAAATGATTCCTAGAAGTTACTGGAATATCTAACAATCTTGTGATGTTGATTTATAATCAGTGATGAAAATTAACCTTTTTAAGAGCACTTCTTCAAATACTTTTGCAGAGTCCAAATCCACAAAAAAAAAAAAAAAAAAAAGCAGTTGCCAAGAAATAAAATGGACCAAAAAAAATTACATAAATCCTGTCCACAAAAGACCACAGTCAGAAGTATATGAGGGGAAGAAAAAGGCAAATCCACGAACACTAGATCTCATGCTGCCTCTGGAATCCGCAGCAGTGTGGATACTATGGATAGTGTGCAGAGCCAAGTCTTCTTGGAAGACTTGTAGGAAGTCTTGGAAGAAATCTAGGAAGGCTTGGAAGTCTTCTAGGAAGCCAGACCTATTAGCTTGACATATTATTAATTACTTTGAGCCTTAAAGGAAAGCATTATAATGTTGTGATTGCAATCCTGCACATCCCAGATCGAGGTGACATCAGCTCATCTGTCCGCAAGTATTTTCTCTGCAAACTGTAGAACTCCCCAAAACTACAAACAGTGGGAAAACCTTGAAGGCAGGGAGTGGGATTCAGTGTGGAAGGATACAGGCAAAGAACGGAGTTCAGGATTGAACGGAGTGTGCTGTGGGGTAGGAAATGCTTAATATTAATATTAATATTAATGTTTGAGCAGAAGGGGAAGTGGTAGAGATTCTAAATAAAGGAATGTTTCTACAGATGCAGACAGATGAGTCTGTAGGCAGCATGTGTATACAGAGACAGACAAGCAGATTTTAGTTTTTTTCCTATAATATAATTGTTGCAACCTGAAAGCCTGATGTTCGTAGCTTCTTCAGCTTTATTCTCCGGCAAAAACTTTACCTTCCAATTGCAATTAACACTGCATGGTAGCTGCCAGTTGAAATATCTGCCAAGAGATTTGCATAAAACAGATTAAATTCACTCTCCTTTAAGAATCAAAGCGGTTTGTTTTAATGCTATATTTGATTTTTCCCAGACCAGGAAGATAGGTCTTCAAATTGGGATGCTACACTGTCACAAAATTGGCTCCTATTTCAGTGGGTTTTGCATGTGATCATACAGTTTCACAGATTCTGAGACTTCTGTTGCTTCAGCAATCCTATAGTGTTTAGAGAAATACATGTTACCAGACTTGCTGCTTAGTCTACCTGCCGCTGTTCATTTTTTTATAACTCGGTGTGTGTACTCATCTTCAGGCACATTTGAATTGTCACTGAAGATACCAAATAAAATCATTCACGAGTAGGGTAATGAGTGCAAATATCTTGTTATTAGGAGAAAACTTTGCCTAATGGTCCAAAGTCTCATTTCTTCCTTAATTAGTATATTCTAAAGAAACATACACACTGCAGCTTCACAATTCACTTTGACAGTTTTTTTATGTTGTGCTTTGACTTTGAATGTTCCTGTTTATCTTGTCTTTAGGAGTTTGGAGATTCTAGGTAGCATCTAAGATCATCTCCTACATCTTGTTATTCTACTAAAAGTTGACAAGAAGAATCAAATGCATTTCTTGATTGAAAGCTATTACTGAAGAGTGTGAGGGAATACAAACCAAATTGTGCCTTGACCACAATATTACATGACAGCTGAGGGAATAATTCAAAAATTGCTAATACTGGGTTTTTGTGGCTTAATTTAATTGGACAAATGCTCAGTATTTTATATACATTAAATAAGCATTTGGTTGCTTTATTGGTTTTTAATCCCTATAGATTTGAAAAAGTATTAATTTAATTCTTCAGCGTTGCATTTGTTGTAAATAACGTGGTCCGTATACAAGTCAGTTTCCTAACAAAAAAACTATCAGTTAGTTTGAAGTATTTTAAAGGAAAACTTTAAATACAGGGGATGTCAGATATTTTTAACATAATGTAGACTAAAAATTTGTGTAATAATTCGTATCCCTTGTCTAGAATAATTGTATTTAATACCACATAGCATAGGTTTTTATCAAAGAACATCTTTATAATAAAGTGTGATTCATACAGAACATAGTTTTTTAAAGACAGATTTAATTTTAAAAGACAATTTGGTTTTCCCAAACTGAAGCAATTTCATCAGTATGTTTGTTTAATCTTTTTGTACAATGGAAATCTGGAAGTTTTTGCTATAGTTCTTGTAGATTAATACAGTTACAGACAGCTACCACCCACTTCCAGCCACTTCACCAGTAAGTGAAATTCATTAAGATTATGAGTGCTGAAGTAGTAATAGAATTTAATTTAATTTCTAAATAGCACAGTTTTTTGCACCATTAAATATGATTTTTTTTTGCTCACATGTACCATTCAAACTTCATTTTAATTTAATGTGTGTTTTTAAAACGTAACTGTATTTTTAAAATCATTTGACCTGCAGGTGGAAATGGTGTATTCATTGTTATCAATGCTTGGTACTCATGATAAAGATGACATGTCAAGAACATTGCTAGCAATGTCTAGCTCCCAGGACAGCTGCATAGCCATGCGTCAGTCTGGATGTCTTCCTCTCCTCATCCAGCTTTTACATGGCAACGATAAAGACTCTGTCTTGTTAGGAAACTCTCGTGGTAGTAAAGAGGCCCGTGCCAGAGCCAGCGCTGCACTGCATAACATCATTCACTCCCAGCCTGATGATAAGCGAGGCAGACGGGAAATCCGTGTGCTCCATCTTTTGGAGCAGATCCGTGCTTACTGTGAAACGTGTTGGGAATGGCAGGAGGCACATGAACAAGGCATGGACCAGGACAAAAACCCAAGTAGGTTCTGCAAGACGTATAAAAATGTTTCAAGGATATACTGAAAAGAGTGAATTTACAGAAAGTACAACCTAAATCTGACTTCTTGTTGAATATATGCAAGTATTACTATACATATATGTGTGTGTATGTATTTTACCTTTTTTTTTTTAAGTGGAATTAGTATTAGGAAATAATATATATTACAGGTATAATACCCCATTTATACACTTTTTATTTAGATCATAGACCTTGGTGTGCTTTCAAGGTCGTAATTCTAGTAGTTTATATTTGTAATGGATAAACAATCCCAAATTGCTTTCCATGCTGATGTATTCAGGATTTCTCAGGGAGCATTTAGGGGGAAAAAAAAAAAAAAAAAAAGATTTAGCCTTGTGGATTGCTTAGCTGCTTCTCTGAATTGAGGACATTCTGTAAATGCTTTCTGTAGGTGTCCATGGCAGATGTACTACTGAAATCAGGGGCTGCTTCCTGTGTGTTGGAGTTCACCACAAGAACAGGAGTGGGGCTCAGAACAAGATGTATCAATACTATTTCTGCATTATCCAGAATCTGTCTCACAAAACATGAACTTAAAAACTTCTAGATTTTGAGAGAAGGGTTCAATTAACAATTCATAATGTCATATAACACCCAGAAAAACAGCTTCAGATTATGTGGCATATTATTTAATGCCACCAGAATATTTAACCATAATGATCTGCTTCATGAAGATTATTAGTGAGTAACAAGGTAATATTTTTGTACTGCAAGTCGTATTTCTTACTCCACACATGGATCAGGATTCTTCCTGGTTTGTGTTTCAGCAGAAAATGCGGTACACAGTTTTCTTAGTAACATTTTTAACTAATTGTCTGTTCATGGATTACTGGGAAGATACAAACCCTGAACAAAACTGCAGTTGATTTATTTTTAAGATTAGATTTGCTTTTAAAAAGTTACGATCTAGACAAAATCACCTAGGAAATACTAACTGTTACCTGTCTCTGGATCAGTGCCTGCTCCAGTGGATCATCAGATCTGTCCTGCAGTGTGTGTTCTGATGAAACTCTCATTTGACGAAGAACACAGGCATGCAATGAATGAGCTTGGTAAGATCAGATGTATTTCTCTGACTTCCTCTGAGAAGCCTCCTGGAAACTCTAACATTCCTTGTGTTCGTCACTGGATATATGGCTCTTTTTTTTTTTTCTAGTAGTTTAAAGACATAATCATTTGCATCAGATGCAAGTGACGAATGCAGTTTAAATTAACCACACCATTTCCCAGTAGATAAATTATTATATCAGTTACTGTTTTTCTGCCATGAATTATGAATTTCAGAAGACTAGTATTATTATGGAAATGCTTGCAATTTTAGAAGTATTGGACTGACAGTGGAGACCACTTCCCAGAGTGGGAGGTTTTTTGTTGGTGTTTTGGTGAGGGTTTTTTGTTCTGCATTGGTTCCTGCTTGAATTTTTTACTCCGTTCTCAGTAAGTTCTGTGCATGCAATTTTCCTTAATTTGCCACTTACCATTATCAAGGAAAATACTGCATGAATTCTTCTCAGAAAATAATATGCAGTGATAGTAATTAAATGGATAATCTTTCAGATTTACTACATAGACTTTTGTGTACCTGGTGCGAGTCTGTTGGGATTTTGGCTGGATGGAATTAAAAGATGAGTGTGCTTCTTGCTTCTCATAATTCCTCCTGCTTTCATTTTCCCATGAAATCCCAATGTCATGCTGTCTTATGTTTTAGCTGCTGCAAAGCACAGGATTCAAGATCCAGAGGCAGCATTTAACAATTCATATATCTTTTTGAGCATTGTGAGTTTCAGATGTTTGAGATCTGTTCTGTACCTAAAAATGCAGATTGTTCCTTGGTATGTACGAACTGTACTTACCATACTAAAGTACAGATATTACTCCTTTTCTTGATTGTTTTTTTTCAAAGGAGGTTTGCAGGCCATCGCTGAACTGTTGCAAGTGGATTGTGAAATGTATGGACTCACAAATGATCACTATAGTGTTACCTTGAGGAGGTATGCTGGAATGGCTCTGACAAACTTGACTTTTGGAGATGTGGCAAACAAGGTGAGGGCAGAATTGTAAACATGCAGTAATTTCAGTTCACATGTTTGAGTTACAGTTCTCAACACAGGTGATGAATCTTCAGGACAGGATATTGAGTTTGACCTCAAGGAAGAAGTTCAAAATACTTTTGTCATTCCATCTTGTTCCTGACAGCACCACAAACTGAATGTTGTATCACTCAAGTATAGTATTGGCTCTCATATAAAATTAAATAACTTTTAGTTTGTCACTGAGAATAAGGATTTATCTATTGGCTTGACTTTTTTATGAGCACTAGGTTAATATGCACATAATGTTTTCAGTGACTGCTTTTCTTCCGACGATATTGAACTAAAACTGCTATTTGAGTCAGATTTTCTAAAGTTGTCAGTTATTTAATAATACTATAACTTCCTAGTGAACTTTTTCAAACCTCTTCAGGCTGGAGCTTGCTTTTAAATATTTGGAGCATTTCTGGCTCATGCTGGGCACTACTTCAGTCATTATAAGGGAAAATTGATTCTCCAATATCTGACAAGGACCTGTCTTTTAAAAGATAGAAGGATCCGATAAATCCTTGCCACAGGTTTTGCTAAGCTGTGGATCTTAAAATAACTTCATACTGAGAAGACTTATCTTTCTGCTCTAGAAGGAAGATACTTCAGGAGTGAATGGAAATAATAGGCTTCAGAGAACTTGGGTTTTGTTACAAGTTTTAGACAAAAGTAAAGCATAAATCCTTGCTGCAAAACAAATTGCCTCACAAATATTGGCTCTTTACATCATCCAGTCAGTAACTGCTACAGGCTACTGGGTTTTTAGGATAAACTGAACTACTCTGAGTTGTAAATGCACACACTGTCCATTTGAGAAGTAGTACACTTCGGGTGCATACTTCAGGTTGGAATAATTTTGTGCATTATCGGAAATTATTTCAAAGCCTTGCAGCTTCTTATTAGTTACATTATTCTTAAAGAGTCATTCTTCAAATGTCAGAAGTGTTGTTATGTCAGTTTTAAATACTCATTTTTTAAACTACATTTATTTCAAAAGAAAAAATGTAGCTAGGCAGTAGGTATCTTATCTGGTGCATAGTAAAGAAAGCTTCTAAAGTAGTAAAGTTCCAGATCATGTTCTATACCTGTGGTAAAAAAATATAAGAATTTTGGCACAATGTTATTACTTATGTATTGAAACTGATAGTTACATTAATTTTTCATAGTTGTAAAACAAATATTTATTGTTGGCAACATCTCTTAGGAAGCTTTCATTAAACTTCAGTTATGATTTGCTTAAAATATCAAGACGTTGTGCAGAAGCAAGCCATCTAACCTTTAATACAATTGACTTTTATTTTTCTTCCAATTTGTAACAGGCTACATTATGTTCCATGAAGGGCTGCATGAGAGCTCTTGTAGCCCAACTGAAATCTGAAAGTGAAGACTTACAGCAGGTAAGATTCTTTTGAGATTGAGTACTTCTTTTGTTATCTTGTTTGCCTTAACGATGATGCAACATTTGTACTTGTACTCATTTCACCAATTATGACTCACATTCTCCTTGTAAAAATTCTTACCTATGGGGTCATGTTCTGGGTTTTTTTTGGCTTTGGGTTTTTTTATTGTAACATATGCACTATAAAACTTACGTTTTATGACCCTGATCTGTTAGTGGAAGTCCACTTTTAAAGTGGACTTTTTTACATGTTTAAAGGTAAGTTTGAGAGATCTTAATATGTTCAATGTGATACCTGAGTGTCTGTTCTGATGTCTCCTGCTGCATAAAGAAAATAGCTTGAAGAAAGTCTTTAGGAAGTGCTTATGGTCATACTGAAAGTTGAGAGCACAGCACCTTTCTTCATTGGTATGGCACTTGTTTAAAGTCATTAAATATTAAATTATAATCAATTTTAATTAATACATATTGTAAACAAACTGGAATAGCTCTTTTAAAGGAAGCCCCTTTTTTCCTTGCCATCTGAGTGAATCATCAGATAAAAAGACCAATTTTAAGTAAAATTAACTTCATTTCTTAAAACATTGTTAATAAAAAATACTCTCCACTACAGGAGGAACTGACTAGTTAAAGTTGAGAAAAATATTAGAATTGCAGTAAAGGTTATTGGTAAACTTTGATATTGGTATACTCTGGCATCCCTAGGCCAGGACTTCTGGACTGACCTGCATCAGTCCAAAAGGTAAAGACTGTATTCTGCTTACAAAAGGCACAGTGTATTTTAAAAAGACTTCAAGGAGCTCTGTAAACATCAATCAAAGTAGTCATACTATCTGTGAGACAGGAAAGTGTTAGTGTTCTATTTTCCAAGCAGAAAATACTATATAAATCTCCCCTGAGATAACTCTTATACAGACATAAGAGTAGAGAACAAATCTGAATTTTTTGGACAAAATTTTCAACTGTTGTGGAAAGCGTGAAACCTGATTTCAGACCTCTGTTTTAGGTACCCACACACAAAAGCCAGTACCTTTGATCAAACTTCATATTGAAATGTTAAAACAGTCTAGCAGACAACACAACAAAAAGCAGATTTTAGAGAAGTTTAGTTCAGGAGCTTAACATGGCTATTGTTAATTAGTCATACCATTTGAGAAGTCCCAGAAGGAAGGTCTGATAACCTGCTAAAGAAGTAGCTGCCTTGAGATGCATTATTTTTCTTTCACATTTTGCAGGTCATTGCAAGTGTGTTGAGGAATTTGTCCTGGCGAGCAGATGTGAACAGTAAAAAGACTCTCAGAGAAGTTGGAAGTGTGAAAGCATTGATGGAATGTGCTTTAGAAGTTAAGAAGGTATCCTCTATAAGTGATTGAGATAAATTTCTGAGAGATTGCATGTATTTTACACATAACACAAATACTGTCCTTTTCTTGGTGAAAGTGATTGGTCAGACATTGGATGCGGTTCAGGTCTTCTTGCTTTGAAGAAGAGCAGATTTTAGATGACATAGCAGCAGACCACAATGTAACAGTGGCACCCAGAATCCTACTGTTGATTTAATTTTAATTATGAGGGTTGACAGCTTTTGCTTTTCAGTTTCATGAGCTGTGCTGTTGAATAGCCTTTTTTATAATTTTGCCATTTAATAAAACCTCTTTTGAGTTAGTGAATAGATAATTGCCACTTCAGTAATTTTTTAGATAGATTTTTGGTATCTGGAAGGGATTATATTCCATCCCAGAGTCTCCTGCCAGCTAGTCTTCAAGCCATTTCTATCATTGCGGCAGCAAAGAAGTATTGTGACACATATTTCTAAAACCTCTGGGGCAGGAAATATCAAATCCACAGCTGAAGGAAGGAGCAAAGCGAACAAAAAACCAAAAATCTACTTTACCACCCCAGAAAAAAGAATTTGGAACACACACAGCTCCTTGAAGCTAACTTAGTGTATTTCTGACAGCTCATGGTCAACAGCTGAAAACTTCCCTCATTCTGTCATTTTGCTGTTTTCCTAGGAATCCACCCTGAAAAGTGTTCTGAGTGCCTTATGGAATCTATCAGCACACTGTACTGGGAACAAAGCTGATATATGTGCTGTCGATGGTGCTCTTGCATTTCTGGTCGGCACACTGACGTACCGGAGCCAAACAAACACTTTAGCCATCATAGAAAGCGGAGGAGGAATATTAAGAAATGTTTCTAGTTTAATTGCTACTAATGAGGACCATAGGTAGGTATACTTCTGAAAATCTTCAGTGATTCCACATGTATATTTAATAGACATAGTTTCTATGACTGAGCCTTAATATGAATCCCTGTATTAAGCATAGTAATTAAGCACAGTTAATTTTTAATACGCTTGATAAGGCAGGGATTTCACTTACATAACAGGAATATGCAAACAGATTAATAGCTGCTGCTTGTTAATGATGAATGTACTAAGATAATGTAGTAAAAGCTAACTATTCATGTTTGTAATAGGATTTGGTTAGCATTCAGATGAAAGCTAGTTGAAATAGGAGATAAATCTGCACTGGAGAATTCTTGATTATCCTTCCTAAGGGCAAGACTTGCCTGTAGAATAATAGATTTTTGTTTTGCTTTGTCTCTTATCCTTTTGAAATGCCACTTACAGATGTTTGTTTTCAATTACTCAACACCAGGCAAATCTTGCGGGAGAACAGCTGCCTACAAACCTTGTTACAACACTTGAAGTCACACAGTTTGACAATAGTTAGTAATGCGTGTGGGACCCTGTGGAATCTTTCTGCACGAAATGCAAAGGATCAGGAGGCGCTGTGGGACATGGGAGCCGTCAGTATGCTAAAAAATCTCATCCACTCAAAACACAAAATGATAGCCATGGGTAGTGCCGCGGCCCTGAGAAACCTCATGGCAAACAGGCCGGCCAAATATAAGGATGCCAACATTATGTCTCCGGGATCAAGCTTGCCATCTCTTCATGTCAGAAAACAAAAGGCACTGGAAGCAGAATTAGATGCTCAGCATTTATCAGAGACTTTTGACAACATTGATAATTTAAGCCCGAAAGCTTCTCACCGTAATAAGCAGAGACATAAGCAAAATATATACAGCGAGTATGTCCTGGATGCCAGTCGCCATGATGATGGTGTGTGCAGATCAGAGAGTTTTAATGCTGGTAACATGACTGTGCTTTCACCATATGTAAATACTGCAGTATTGCCTGGATCCTCCTCTTCCAGTAGAGGAAACACAGAAAGTTCTCGATCTGAGAAAGACAGAAGCGTTGACAGGGATCGAACAGTAGGTTTGAACACCTATCATCCAGCTGCAGAGAGTACTGGAAACTCCTCTAAGAGATTAGGAATGCAGATTTCTACTGCTGCAGCTCAGATTGCCAAAGTTATGGAAGAAGTAACAAGCATGCACATTCCACAAGAAGACAGAAGTTCTGGTTCCACTTCTGAAATGCACAGTTTGACTGAAGACAGAAATGCCCCAAGGAGATCAACCACTGCCCATACTCACTCAAATACATACTTCCCTAAATCTGAGAATTCAAACAGGACGTGTCCTGTGCCTTACACAAAAATGGAATACAAAAGAGCTTCAAATGATAGTTTAAATAGTGTGAGCAGCAGTGATGGCTATGGCAAAAGAGGCCAAATGAAACCTTCCATTGAATCCTACTCCGAAGATGATGAAAGTAAATTCTGTAGTTACGGTCAATATCCGGCTGACTTGGCACACAAGATTCACAGTGCAAATCATATGGATGACAATGATGGAGAACTAGACACTCCTATTAATTATAGTCTTAAATACTCAGATGAACAGTTAAATTCTGGAAGGCAGAGTCCCTCTCAGAATGAAAGATGGGCAAGGCCTAAGCATGTAATAGATGATGAAATGAAACAAAATGACCAACGGCAGTCAAGAAGCCAAAATGCAACCTACCCCGTGTACACTGAAAGTGGAGATGATAAACACATGAAATATCAGTCACCTTTTGGACAGCAGGAGTGTGTTTCTTCCTTTAGATCAAGAGGATCCAGTGGTTCAGATCAGAACAGAGTAGGCCCAGCTCTTGGAATGAATCAGAAAGTAAACCAGTCCTTGTGCCAGGTTGATGATTATGATGATGACAAGCCAACCAACTATAGTGAACGTTACTCTGAGGAGGAACAGCATGAAGAGGAAGACAGACCAACTAATTATAGCATAAAGTACAATGAAGAGGAGCATCATGTTGATCAGCCTATTGATTATAGTTTAAAATACTCAACAGAAGTTCCACCGCCTTCTCAGAAGCCATCTTTTACTTTTCCAAAGACGACTTCTGTGCAACTCACTAAAACTGACCATATTCCCTCAAGTAGTGGGAGCACATCAACTCCCTCAACTGGTCCAAAGAGACAGACCCAGCTCCACCCAAGTTCTGCACAGAGCAGAAGTGGTCATGCACAGAAGACCTCCTCCTGTAAGACTCCCTCTATTAACCAGGAAACCATACAAACCTACTGTGTGGAAGATACCCCAATATGCTTTTCAAGGTGTAGCTCTTTGTCATCTTTGTCATCAGCTGAAGATGAAATAGGGCGTGATCAATCTACACGTGGTACAGATGCAAATAACACCCTACAGATCACAGAACTAAAGGAAAACAATGCGGCTCTGCCTACAGAAGGTGCAGTAAGTGAAATCACATCTACATCACAACACACCAGGACAAAATCCAGTAGACTTCAGACTTCTAGCTTGTCTCCTTCTGATTCCTCTAGACATAAAGCTGTTGAATTTTCTTCAGGTGCCAAATCTCCCTCAAAGAGTGGTGCGCAAACTCCTAAAAGCCCGCCAGAACATTATGTACAGGAAACACCTCTCATGTTCAGTAGATGTACCTCTGTTAGCTCCCTGGATAGTTTTGAAAGCCGTTCAATTGCCAGCTCTGTTCAAAGTGAGCCTTGCAGTGGAATAGTAAGTGGTATTATAAGTCCCAGTGACCTTCCAGACAGCCCTGGACAAACGATGCCTCCAAGCAGAAGTAAAACGCCACCGCCTGCTCAAGGGGTTCAAGTGAAAAGAGATGTACCTAAGGGAAAGGTACATAGTACAGAGAAGAGGGAGCCTGGTCCTAGACAGGCAGCTGTAAATGCAGCTGTTCAGAGAGTTCAGGTACTGCCAGATGCTGATACACTATTACATTTTGCCACAGAAAGCACACCGGATGGGTTTTCCTGCTCTTCCAGCCTGAGTGCTCTGAGCCTAGATGAGCCATTTATACAGAAAGATGCAGAGTTGAGAATAATGCCTCCGGTTCATGAAAATGACCATGGAAATGAGACGGAGCCTGAACAGTCAGATGATACAAAGGATAATGAAGAGAAGAAGGCAGAGAAGCCTGCTGAAGCAGAAAAAGACATTCTGGATGATTCCGATGATGATATTGAAATACTGGAAGCATGTATTATTTCTGCAATGCCAACAAAGTCTTCACGTAAAGCCAAAAAGCCTTCTCAAGCATCTGCTCCAAAAATACCTCCTCCTGTAGCCAGAAAACCCAGCCAGTTGCCAGTTTACAAACTTCTGCCTTCACAAAGCAGACTGCAGTCACAAAAGCATGTGAGTTTTACACCAGGAGATGATATGCCACGGGTGTACTGTGTTGAGGGGACACCAATAAACTTCTCTACAGCTACATCTCTGAGTGATCTCACAATAGAGTCGCCACCGAGTGAGTTGGCCAATGTAGACAGTGTGGGTGTGGGAGCAGAGTCAGGGGAGTTTGAAAAGCGGGACACCATTCCCACAGAAGGCAGAAGTACCGATGATGCTCAGAGAGCAAAAAGCTCAGCTGTGGCTTCTCCAGGCCTGGATGATGACAAAACAGAAGAGGGTGATATTCTGGCTGAGTGCATTAACTCGGCTATGCCAAAAGGAAAAAGTCACAAACCTTTCAGAGTGAAGAAGATAATGGATCAAATTCAACAAGCTTCTTCATCTCTGAGTAATAAAAACCAACCAGAAGGTGAGAAAAAGAAGCCAACATCACCAGTAAAGCCTGTTCCCCAAAATAACGAATACAGAGCACGCATAAGAAAAAGCACTGAGCCTAAAAGCAATGTGAGTAATGAAAGAGGCTACCCAGAGAACAGAGATGCAAAGAAACAGAACCTTAAAAATAATTCAAGAGACTTTCATGACAAATTGCCAAATAATGAAGAACGTGTAAGAGGAAGCTTTGCATTTGATTCCCCTCATCATTACACACCTATTGAAGGAACTCCTTACTGTTTTTCACGGAATGATTCCCTGAGTTCTTTAGATTTTGATGATGATGATGTTGACCTTTCAAGGGAGAAGGCAGAGTTAAGAAAAGGAAAAGAAGCAAAGGAAATGGAAAGTAAAGACTGCTCTAACGCAGAACAGCCTTCAAATCAGCAGCCAAGTAACAGGACTCAAGTTTGTCAGAAACACCCAGCAGGCAGAAGCCAGCCTAAAGCTTTCTCTCAGTCAACTAAAGATATTCCAGACAGAGGGGCAGCTACAGATGAGAAAATGCAGAATTTTGCTATTGAAAACACACCTGTTTGTTTTTCCCGCAATTCATCTCTTAGTTCCCTCAGTGATATTGATCAAGAAAACAATAACAACAAAGAAGGGGAACCTGCGAAACGTACCGAGGCTCCTGATTCCCAAATAGAATCCAACAGACCACAGACTTCTGGTTACGCCCCTAAATCATTCCATGTTGAAGATACTCCTGTGTGTTTCTCTAGAAACAGCTCTCTGAGTTCCCTTAGCATTGACTCGGAAGATGATCTTTTGCAGGAATGCATTAGTTCTGCTATGCCTAAAAAGAAAAAGCCCTCAAGAATGAAGGGTGAAAGTGAAAAGAATAATTCCAGAAATACTGGTGGCGTACTCGCAGAAGATTTAACACTGGATTTGAGAGAGATACAGAGGCCAGATTCAGAACATGGTTTTTCACCTGATTCAGAGAACTTTGATTGGAAAGCTATACAAGAAGGTGCAAATTCTATAGTCAGTAGCTTGCATCAAGCTGCAGCTGCTGCATCACTGTCTAGACAAGCTTCATCAGACTCTGATTCTATTCTTTCATTAAAATCTGGTATTTCTCTAGGGTCACCATTTCATCTTACTCCAGACCAAGAAGAAAAGCCCTTCACTAGCAATAAAGGTCCAAGAATTATTAAGCCAGGAGAGAAGAGTACACTGGAGTCTAAAAAAGTAGAGTCAGAAAGCAGGGGAATCAAAGGAGGGAAGAAGGTGTATAAAAGTATAATCACAGGAAAAGCTCGCTCCAGTTCTGAAGTTTCAAGCCAGTTGAAGCAACCACAACAGACAAGTGTGCCTTCAATTTCACGTGGTAGAACAATGATCCATATTCCAGGAGTTCGAAATAGTTCTTCAAGTACTAGTCCTGTTTCCAAAAAAGGGCCCCCACTCAAAAACATGAACTCCAAGAGTCCCAGTGAAGGCCAGAGTTTGACTAGTTCTCCAAGAGGAGCCAAGTCATCAGTGAAACCTGAGCCAGCTCCCGTAACGAGGCAGCCATCGGGACTGAATCAGAGTGGATCCAGTAAAGGACCGTCTAGATCAGGGTCTAGAGACTCCACTCCTTCCAGACCTCAGCAGCAGCCATTAAGCAGGCCTCTGCAGTCTCCTGGGCGAAACTCCATTTCCCCAGGAAGAAATGGTATAAGTCCTCCCAACAAACTGTCACAGTTGCCAAGAACATCATCTCCTAGCACAGCTTCAACTAAATCCTCAAGTTCAGGCAGAATGTCATACACACCACCGGGCAGGCAGATGAGCCAGCAGAACCTTACAAAGCAAACTGCCTTACCTAAGAGCACCAGTAGCATTCCACGAAGTGAGTCTGCTTCAAAAGGGTTAAACCAGGCTCTCGGCACTGGTGGATCAAACAAAAAGACTGATCTATCCAGAATGTCATCCACAAAATCTAGTGGAAGTGAATCTGACAGGTCTGAGAGACCTGTTCTCGTTCGTCAGTCAACTTTTATTAAAGAAGCTCCAAGCCCAACTCTGAGACGGAAGTTAGAAGAGTCAGCTTCATTTGAATCCCTGTCTCCTTCCAGGCCAGATTCTCCCACGAGGTCCCAACTACAGACCCCAGTTCTGAGTCCATCTCTTCCTGATATGTCTTTATCCACTCACTCAGCTGCCCAGACTGGTGGTTGGCGAAAATTAGCCCCCAGTCAGAGCCCTTCTGCAGAATATGATGGGAGACCAGCCAAGCGTCACGACATAGCTCGTTCTCATTCCGAAAGTCCATCTAGACTACTGATCAATAGATCAGGAACATGGAAGCGTGAGCACAGTAAGCATTCCTCATCCCTCCCCCGTGTAAGCACTTGGCGAAGAACTGGAAGTTCCTCCTCGATTCTCTCAGCTTCCTCAGAGTCCAGTGAAAAGGCAAAAAGTGAAGATGAGAAGCAACATGGAAGTTCTCTTCCTGGACACAAGCAAAATAAAGAAAGCCAAGCACCAGCAAAAGGTACTTGGAGAAAAATAAAAGAAAATGAAATTCCTCAGATAATGAACGATCCTTCCTCAGGTGCCGCAAATGGCTCCGAGTCTAAAACTCTCATCTACCAGATGGCACCAGCTGTCTCTAAGACGGAGGACGTATGGGTGAGGATAGAGGACTGCCCAATTAACAACCCTCGATCTGGAAGGTCCCCAACTGGAAATACTCCCCCCGTTATTGACAGCGTTTCAGAGAAAGGGGGTGTGAATGGTAAAGACCCTAAAGAGATTCAAGAAAAGCAAACCCCAGGGAGTGGAGGTGTTCCTGTTCGTACCGTTGGCTTAGAAAACCGTCTGAACTCTTTCTTTCAGATAGACAGTCCAGACAAGAAAGGCAGTGAAACAAAGCCTCTGCAGAATAATCCTGCTCCTGCACCAGAAATTAGTGAAAGTACTGTAAGTGAGCGCACACCCTTCAGTTCCAGTAGTTCAAGCAAGCACAGCTCCCCCATTGGTGCTGTGGCAGCAAGGGTGACTCCCTTCAACTACAACCCAAGCCGCAGGAAGAGCAGCGTGGACAATAGTTCTGCTCGGCCCTCACAGATCCCAACTCCAGTGAACAACAGCACCAAGAAACGTGACACCAAGTCTGAGAACGCAGACTCCAGTGGAACCCAAAGCCCTAAACGTCACTCTGGCTCTTACCTGGTAACTTCTGTTTAAGTGCAACAAAAGTTAAATAGAACTGTATTATATACAGCAGCTACTTAGAAACTTTGTTTCGAATGAAACAAGAAAAAATGGGGATTGATTTTTTTTTTCCTGTTGTTTTTATTTGTTGTAAATAGCTTTGATTCTTGTTAGATGGTCCTTGTTCTGGAAGCCATATTTGATAGTATACTTTGTCTTCACTGGTAATATTTTGCAGGAATACCTGATTGACAGTTTGGAATAAAATTGCTAACACAAGTATATTTGTATAGTATGTTTAACATGTATTAGCATCCCATCCCATAATCCTTTGAATATTGCTTGTCATTGAAGTCATGGAATAGTGCAGATAGAGGAGATACAGTCATACTGCTTTATCAATAATTTCTAGGTTACACACCGACTAAACTACATCAGGGAAGAATTGGTATTATTTATGCAAAAAAAATATAGTCATTTTAGTATTTGTGAGTCCATCTAACCCAATAATTAATCATGTGGCTGTGAAATTCACAGTAATATGGTTTCCGCTGAACAAGCTTTCCTAGCCTGCTTTTCTGCATGAATGGAACTGATGGTTCATTTTATGAAGTAATGATTAACATTTCTGTGGTCACATAATGTGCATAGATAGTTATGGTGTAACCATTTACACTTTCTTTGTGCTCTGAAAAAAAAAAAAAAAAAACCAAACAAAAAAACAACTGTGTAACTGTAAAACCTTGAACAAAAATATTTTATCTGATTTTATCTTAAAGTAGGTAGAATTTTTTTGCTATGCTGTAACTTGTTGTATATTCTGGTATTTGAGGTGAGATGGCTGCTCTTTTATTAATGAGACGTGGGTCATGTCTCAACAGAGACTAAAATGAACATTTCAGAATAAATTATTACTATATGTAAGTTTTGTGTGTTACTTCTGCATTACATAAAAATACAGTGTTTTATTTTGAGATGTCACCATATAATGTGTTGTATAATGCACTTACACTTAAGGCCTGATCCAGTAGAATTCTGCACCTCCAATATTTGTTCTTCCTTATCACTGACAATGGCTGTTGTAGGATGCTTTTAACCGCTATGGGATCAGGCCCTAGGTCTTCTGTAATATATTTGTAATTGAGACAGTTTCACACATCTCAGGTGCATAACAAGGCTAAAGGCAGGGTATTTCCAGTAGCCAAGCAGTATAATTGTTCTCACGACTGCAAGCCTGAAACAATATTGTATCTATAAAAATAATATTTGTAAAACAAAAGTTTTTTAATTGGGGATATAATGTAGAATGTGAAATAGTGACTATAAGATAAAATTTAATTGTATTTGCTATCTTTATGCTTTTTTGTTTAATTTATTTTTTAAGAATTATGAACAGGAAAATATTGCAAGAATCCCATAGCAGCAAGAAATTTGTTATCTTAGTAGAAAAATAATTATGCACAAACAGGGCATTTGCTGCCTCAAGCCTTTTTGATGCAAATATAGATTGTGCTAGAACAATGCTGAAAAAAACAGATTTGTGCTTTAAAAATACAGTCTGAATTTGGATGAAAATTGGTTTAAACTACAAACGTGACAGAACAGAACATTAACCATTCTGTGCATTTTTGAAAAAAACATGAAATGGTTTGTTAGTTTTGTTGTATCTCAACTGGACTGTTCTAAAATTAGCTTTCTAAATACTGAATATTTAGAACTCAGAATGCCCTGATTTCAGGAAGCCCTGAAACAGAGCAATTTACCTTTATGGTAGCTTTAACACAGTTGCAGAGTGTATCACTTCTGTGGCTTTTGTACTTCTGATATTCAAATGAGTCAGTTGAACTCACTCTAAGACGTGCTGATTTATGAGTAGAATCAAGATACTATCAGCAGACAGAAGTCAGTTTATATAAAAGCCAATACCAAAAATACCTGTTGGGCAGAAGTGGTATCTTACTTGCTCTTTTGTTCTTTGCTTCCTGTGAGATTTGTTTAGAGACATGCCATGTTCTTATATCACCTGGTGAACCTGTTAACAAGCAGCAATCCTCGTGTTAGCATTTGAAATATTTTGCATATGGTATCTTCACAAAGCTTCTAATATGAATATTGGTGTCCTGTTAAAGATGATACAGAGACAGATTGTGTGATGTGTTCCAAGTCAGGACTTCCTGTTGGAGTAGAATACAAATATTTGAGTTTTAAATGAAAGACCACTTTTCTTGTCAATTATGTGATACTTTTTTTGTGCTGGGCTTTTAACGACTAACACAAAAATACACCACATAATCCAGAATAGTTGTTTAACACCGGCATTACCTATTTGTCCTGTCAGTTTAAGAATTAAAGGTAAACTCGGTCTCAGTAAAGAAATACTGATTTCAGTTCAGTAACTGAAAAATTACTGAAATCAGTTTTTTAATCAGAAGGTGAAACCATAAGTAATTGCATGCGTATCAAACACCAGAATGTCTTTGAAAATTGTAGTGGCTTCTCGAGATAGTCATGGGGATACTTCATGATCATTATAATTGGGAAGTTTCTCTTAGTATCCTCATAAGTAACCTATATTTGTAGCAAAGATGGGCTAGAGAAACTTTCCAACTATAAGGGTAGTGATACACGAAAATATGCTTCCCATGGGAGTTGTTAAATTTCCATTATAGAAGTTTTAAGGAGAGGTTTATGAAACATCTCATAGGGATGGACTGTAGTATATTTCATATTGCCTGTGTGCAGAGATGGGCTTAGGTGATCTTTTGAAATCTCTTCCAAATCTACATTTCTCTGATTCTTTATCTAAAATACTTAGTATCCACTAAGAGCCTTTCAGAATATTTAAAGACATCCATGATGTTTGATTTATGATGGGGATATAAATTTCTATTCTAAGCTAAACTATAAAAACAGATCCCAGAAATATAAAATCAAAACCAAGAAAAATTATTACAGTAAGTATATTTGGTCTAGGATTTTTTTTTTTTTTTTTAATTATTTCTAGATTCATGATAGATTTAATTTATGCTGCTAAAGATTTATTCTTGTTCTTGGTTTCATTTGTAAGAAGTTGCCACAGCCGGTAAGAGGACATCATTTATGTCAAGGCAAAACAAAAGGAGCTAAGGAAACCAAGACTCAATTTACTGTTCTTCTGGGATGCACTGCCTTTCTTTCTACCAATTTTGGGTAGAACTTTTTGTGACTTGTGCTCAGACTTTTAGTTAGTCTTTGAATTCGTTTATCATATCCAGAACATACCAAACTTGTACTTAAAAATCAGTTTATATTGAAAAGTAACTCATAAAGCTCATTTCAGACTGTCTTACAGCTTTGTCCTCTTGACGTGAAAAGCGGAAATATGACCTCCCCACAGTTTGTAATTAGTCACTTTTTAAAACGTACCTCCATTTTAGTTTCTTGCAGTGTGCCACAGTTGAGGTTACTGCTCAGTTTCTGTGAAAGGTCTTCTGACTAATATTGCCAACTTTAAAGAGGAACTAATCTAGTTCTGGTTTTCATGTGCACTTCTCTATCAAGTATTTTCCCCTGAAAGCTTAAAAATAATCCTGAAAACTCTGTCAGATATGACAGCTTAAAAATTGAAAGCCTTGCCACAGTTTCCTGATGAGATTTAAATATTGTTTCAAGCAGGATTTGGCTGCAGAATACAAGTAAAGTTTAAGCTATAAACTTCAGTAAGCCAAGTATTCTTCAACATAGACTAATACCTTTGATGGCTATGGGAAATTGGCTGCTGTATCTTCTTTGGTGGAAGAGGAGGGAAAGAAAAGGGATGGTTTTAGAGATAGTCATGTTGTCCTAGGGATGTACTTCCCTGTGTTCCTTAGTAAATTGCATAAGCTGCACCAAAGAGAGAACAGCTTGTGCACAAATTAATGAAGTTTTATTTTGAAAGTATACCAGTAGACCATGAAACTGCAAAACCTTTGGTTATCTGACAACTGACTTATTTGATGGCTGGTATTTCATAGCTGTCCATCCCCCTGTCCCCTTAACAGAAGTGGGTATTACCAAGGAGATAAGTGTATTAGTGTCTTTATTCTTAAAGATAGAGATCCATGCTATTTCTAGAATTGGAGGAATGGGATGTGCTGTTGAAAGAAGTTTTCTTCTCCATTGCATGCTCTTGGCTGTGAATCCTGGCTCTCATGTGACCTCTCAGGAGACTTGCTCACTTCTTACCTCCCCCCCAATGGAGGCAGTAAGATTAGAGCTGCATTTAGTATGAATTTACTCATTGCTTAGTTGGACAAGTGCCATCTGAGCCAGCAGAAAAAAAATTACCAGCTAGGGCTGGTTGAAAGAGGTTGGAATGGTTTCTTTTATGCATGGTCAGTGGGTTGGATCAAGCCATGGCAGGCAATTCTAAGCCAGTTGCAGAACTTCACCCTTTTTGACACAGCAAAAGCAAGTTGAAGTTGGATTTTTTTTTTAAACTCTGAACTTCTACCTAATGGCCCCTAGTACTTTGCATTTAAATACGTGACCTTTGGGTAAGTTCTTTTTCCTGGACATTCTGACAACTGACTTCAGAAGTATTACATAAGTGTATAGATGTGGGAAAGAAATATTTCTTCATCAGAAATATCCGAAGAAAAGAAAGAGTCTACCATATGTAGAATTCCAGGGGACAGTTTTTAGATTTGCAGTACTGAATCCAATGTAGTAAATCCTTCCAGTAAAAAGATTAATTGCAAATACTTGTTTTCTAGAGGGGGCTTGAAGAGGGAGAACATCTCCATTCCTTGATGAGGTCAGTATTACTTGTAGGCATCCCTACAAGTAATTCCCATCTGGAAAATGCTTAGGTGGACTCCCCTTACAAGCTCTTCAACAATCCTGTTGTTACTAGATGCCTCCCAAAATGTATTTTCTTATCTAGCTTTCATGAAATGGTACAAACAGCCATAAGAGCGTCACTAACAATCGTATGTAGACTTACACCTAAACACAACTTCATGCATCTACTGTAATGCCTTGCAAAGTTGCATCCACCTATCCAACAGCTTTGTTCTTGATGAGATGTGTGATTTGGATGAAGCTGTGAATCAGAAGTGAAGTGTCAGTTAATGTGAAGCATGACCTTCTCCATGCATTTAAATCTTCAAGGACCTTCTTAATACCAAATTACCCAAGTGTATTCACTCTCTGGTTCCACAGCCATCTCCTTTGCACTTTTACATTTAACCAGAAGAGATGCCCACTTTTAATTTCATTTGAAATCATGTGTAGAAATAAGATTCCTGCAGCATAGTTTCCTATATGCAGAATAACAGTTTGTATCTGTAAATGTGTTTATAGAGAATGTTACGTAGTTAAGGTTGAGTTTTTAGTCAGAATGGCAAGTTAACTGGTTACGTGTTGTGTTTGGTTACATATTGGAAGTGCAAGGGAATTTGGTGTGGTGCAGAACAGCTTTAAGAGTTCACAACAGTAATTAATGCAGGTGTCAATCAATATGTGATGTCAAGATGAATTTCCTGCTCTTGAGTTTCAGTTTACCAGAAGTGCTGTTTACTTACTCTAAGCCTGGGTAACGCCTCCCTAGTGTAGTTTTGCAAATCACCTTTCTTAGGAAAATTCCACATAGTTACAGGCTTATAAATACTTGTGAGTTTTTGCCACTTCAGGATTTCAGGAAATTACTCAAATTTTGCTGTTTGTGGAAACATCCTTTGCTTGAGTGGCTGTGGAATTGCAATTAGGATTGCAGGAAGGTGTAGCAGGAGCTGGTTCACTCAGTAAAATGCACTTCTGTCCAGACCTCAAGCCATACATACAAACAGTATCTAATGCCCTACTTTTTGGTGGGATGTAACATGCATAAAGCTTGTGCTGGTTCTCTGCAAGCAGATTGTCATCCTGTGAGATCAGATGCATTTTCCCACCTGTAAATGTTGTTTCTCTTGAACAAACTCAGCCCACAATTATATTTCCTTCAGTTTTGTTGTTTGCTTCTGCCTGGGATGCATTACTGTTTATATCCTAACTCTGTAATTAATTCTTTCTTCAATTATTCTAATGTATTTTGTTTCACAATATACTTATTCTGAATTTAGTCTTGCTATGCATAATTTATTTATTACTTGCAGTGTTATATAAAATTTCCTCCTGATTGCACCTTGTCAGAGTGGAATTGTTTTCTTGGCTGTTACTGAAAGTTAGGTGTCTGTTCACTGTATTAGAAATATGATTTTATTTAAAAAGGAAGTTGCTGTTAAGACCCTTGAGTAATTCAGTATATCAGAACAAATGCTCTAAAAAATCCCATGCAGTTCCCTTTTGGCGGTAGTCACGTTTCAGATAAATGAGTGGAAGAACCTCAGAGATGTGTGGTTCGCTAGTTGAGCTCCCTGTTCTCTTCCATGTTTTATCTTAAAACAAGCTACACAAAACAAAAATTAGTTCCAACACAGTGTAATTCCATAATCTCTTTGTTACCTACAAAAGTTTCGCAAGAAGGCTAATTTCATTATGACTCATAAGCACAACAGAGACTCACAAAGTCTTTTTTATAATCACAAAGTCTTTCCTTCCCAAAATCAGTGAGTTCTTTAGTCCCTGATTAGACTATTAAGGGACCTAGTTTAATTAATTCCCAACACACATGCACATATATTTATATTTACACGTGTATTTTGTACTTCACTTTGGCTTTGACAGAAGCATTTAAACTAGAAAAAGGCATTTCTACTGACTTTCTAAGATCCTTTGTTTTCTGATAGTTGTACCGCACTGCCATAATTGAGATGAGTTCTAATTTCAGGACTGATTAATTTGTATCTTAAATTATTCTAAGGAAAAAAGTGCTCTTAGGTGTTGGTGTATATGCAGAAAAGGACATTCCCTTGCTAGAAATTAAAACTTCTTTTAAGAATTAAAAAAAAAAACCAAAACAACCCAAAACAAACAAAAAAAAAAAACCCACACACAAAAAAAACCAGCAACCAAAAAAAAAACCCAACCATAACTATCACCAGCAGTTTAAAGTCAGTATGGATCATGAAAACAAGGAGATTTTGACTGATAATTATATTTAATACAAATTAAGGTAGATTAAGCCGCATTCTCTCTGTCCTTCCTAACAATCCTCAATATTAAAAGCACATTGTTGGGGGAGAGAAACATTTGTGCATCTTACCTAGACTGCTGGTAAGTTCATCTAATGTGATGGCACACGTTTAGAGTGGAAGTAACTAAGGAAGAGCTATGGAAGTAGATGTAAAAATTAAGCCAAAATATGAATTATGAGAAATGTCCCAATTTTTATTATTTGTAGTAGTAGTAGTAGTATTACTTTGTTGTTATTATTTTGTTATTAGTCCATTGTAGGATGAAAAGGAGTCGGCATCCTTTGTTTCTTACTCAGTTGAGCAGTTCAACAGCCGTGATGGATTATTTGACAGTTTTTAAGTGCTTTAAATGTCACTGCTCAACCACAGTCAGCAACTAAGCACTACCCAGCCACTCACCTGCTCCCCGAGAGTGGGATGGGGGAGACAGTAAAAGTGAGAAACTCATGGGTTCAGATAAAGATAGTTTAATAAATGGTAAATAAAGACAATAATACTAAATTATTAGTATTAATAGATAATAATATAGATGATACAAGTGAAGCACAGTACAACTGCTCACCACTTGCTGACTGATTCCTAGACAGTCCTTAAAGCAGTGGCCCCCCAGCCAGCTTTTCTACCACTTTATATGCTGAGCATGATGCCATATGGTTTGGAGTATCCCTTGGGCCGGTTTGTCTCAGCTGTCCAGGCTGTCCTCTCCCAGCTTCTTGTGCCCCTCAGCCTCTTCCTGGCAGGGCTTGAGAAACTGGAAAATCCTTGACTTAGCAGAGGCACCACTTCAGCAACAACTAAAACATCAGTGCATTATCAACATTCTCACACTAAATCCAAACCACAACACTATACAAACTACTGGGAAGAAAATTGGCTCTATCTCAATCAAACCCAGGGCATAAATCATTTGGAATTCTTAGAAGTGGAAATCTAGCTTAAGTGAAAGCTGTGAGCTCAGTGCAAATACTGTATTAGTGTGTCACATACAGATGACTGATGGTTCCTTTTGATCTCAGAAGCGGAGCGTACACAGCTGTGACTTTACACAGCTGGTTTACAAGGCTAAAACGGACAAAGAACGAGTGTAAAACTGAGGTTTGTACGGCAGAGATACAGGCTTTGCAATTAGAAGGAATGAGAGATGAGTACAAATCCATACTTTGCCACTTTGCCACTTCGCCTGTTGCCAGCTAATAGGGATTTGGGTAGAGTCTTGGCAGTGTGGTGCCCAACATTCCCCCCAGTATCTCAGTGAAACACTGTGTATTGTTGTCTGTTGTACTTCCTACATTAATTTGTGCAAGTCAATGCTAGTGTCTAGGTGACAATCCAAAAGACAGCTCTAAACACCATACAAGTCAGGATGGCTGTTTTGAAGGCCACTTGTCAGCTGCTCTTGCGGGGCACCATTTAACACAGATTGAAACATGTAAGCTAAATGTGGCTTTAGAACATCCCACATGCTGTAAAAAAGCTACTGACACTGTTTATAGGCTTCTGCCTTTGAGATGAACAAAAGTGATGCTTCTGCTGATTCACAAAGAACACCATGTTGCTGATCTCTGAAGGATGGGTATGAGGTAGTGCTTCTTCTGAAAACAGTAGAAAACTGTCTCCTTATGTAGAAAACAGGATTTTGGATTTGGGATTTCAGTTAAAACTGAAAGGTACTCTATGGATTTAAAATCAGAGAGTCACAGAATGGCTTGGGTAGGAAGGGACCTTAGAGCTCATCTAGTTCCAAGCCCCCTACTGTGGGCAGGGACACCACTTGCTTTGATGTATACAGTCTTTTAAAAGTGGCATATACCAAGAGTAACAGTTAACTCTGCATGTTGAAGTTTCATGGTAAGTAAATACCAGTTTTATGAAAACTAAATGAAGGAGAGCATTATTTTCTCTCTCTGCTGTGGAACGTTCACTGTTGGACAGACCTAGTTCACAGCTGTCTGTTCTTCCAACTTGAGTCACATTTCATGAAGCATATTTCTATAGTTGAAAGTTGTTGGCTTTTTTCCCCAGATCTTACATTTTACTTATTAGTATCTTTTTGGAATCATCGCTTATAAAGATGATGGAGAAAATCCTTACCTTGTCCCGTTCCTGTTCCTTTCAATGAGCATTGAATGAAGAAAGATTTCCCTTTACGTCCCATTTCTTTCTTCTGTGTTTTATCTGCAGTTCAATACAGAGCTTATTCTACTAATCCAGCTGAAAATACACCCCCTCCTGAATGACTTCACTAGTCCCATTACTATATAGGTATGGTTAGACTATGCAGTGTTGCCTCAGGTGAGAGAAAACTGAACATGTAAGCTGGGTCTGAATAAGTATGTATCTGTATGTGACACTTCCAGTAAAACACACAGACTGTGTCACCTCAAACCATCCAAATTTTCTTGGGCTCCCACTTCTAAATGCAGGGCATCTCCATTTTCCCAGGTGAACTGCTGGAACGTGTATCACAATCGCCTTGTATTTCTATTCCATATTTGTACAGGGCTTTTGTTACTGGGTTGTCTTGTTTGGGGGTGGGTTTGGGGGGGAGGGGGATTGTTGTGGTGTTTTTTGTTACTTTTCTTCCCCAGACACCATTAACAGTAAAATAGAGTCTGAATAAGGACACCTGACTTGCTGATGACATTGTATACAGTGGGGGAATTCTGTGCTTGAAATGTGTGTAGTGCAGTGGTCATTCCCCACCCCTTCCACTCAGCAGATGGAATAACCTCACCAAGTTATACACAGCTTTCCAAGACCAGTATCCCTGCTGCTAACCAAAGGCATTATTTCCAGTCTTGACATTTTGCTGCAGATGTGTATGATCCCTGTCCTCACCAGCAATTATCCCTTCTCTTCATCCTGCATTTAAGTGTTTAAAAGCTGTCAGGTTTTGAGTGCTTCACAGTTCCATTTCTCGAGGTCAGAGATAGCAGATATTCGGGAAGCACATGCAGCTACAACGTGCCTGAGCTGGAATGCTGTGTGACCTACTTCTGTCTCTGAATTCCTCAGGCTGGAAATATGCAGAATGCAACTTTGAAATTTATTTCTTATGGCACTAGAAAAAAATTCAGTGAATGGATGCCATATACTCAATGAAGTCATTCTGCGGTGATGATGGGGATTGACAGGTCTGTAACCAGTGCTTTATTTCCAGCGTGCTGGTTTCGAGATACTGCGAATTCTACCACCTGTGAAGGAGACTGGTATGTAATAATAGCATCTGCAGAGTGGTCAGTCATGTATGCCGTATCATCAAATCTGTAATTCCACAAACTCAATTTCTGACAAATTTTCAATCATTTTTCCATCTGAAAAAGGTGCAGAAAATATTTTTTGTTATTTCCACAAATACTGTCACAGTCTGTGTATCTTGTGTTACAGAAGTTTAAATACTGTTTTAAAAGATAAGCCATTAATCCAGTATGTTGGTATTAAAAAGCTCTGTTTTCAGAGCTTTTTTGTATTAATTCAAATTAAAAAAATAAAATGCAACTGTCAGATAAAGCATTAAATACACAAAACCTTTCTCAGTGTCCTGAACTAGGTGGACTGGGAGCAGTCTTAATTTGCAAGTGGTACTGTGCCACTCACAAACTGCAGCTGTGTCACTGCCTTAAACAACGTACTGTCAAAGCAGCATTGCTCAGGGTGATGCAACAGAAACTGGTCTGCAAATTAAATGAGAAACTAAAATCATTACAGAAATCTAAGGGCGAAAAGAACACTGTGAAGTAACATGGTTGATGATGACTGTTTCATATTAATGGTCAGATTAAGATTAACGTGCTCTGCATGGAGACACAATGGCAGCTCTGACACTTTTTAGGTCTTAGGTATCTCAGCAAAAAGTCATTTAATAGGCAAGTGTGTGCATGCAGTGGAGATTTAAAAGAAAAATACAGGAAATCCATTACCAAACTACTATTAACAAAATGAGAACGTTTTGTTGCTAAACAACAAAAAATAGCTACAGTTATTTGTAATAGATTACCTCTTAGGAAGCTACGCTTGACTCTGTATCAGCCAGCTTGATGGTAATCT